CTCGGTCCCCTCCTCAAAATCTCGGTCCCCCCCTCAAAATAGGGGTCGGAGCTGCCCTCTCGCAGATCCAATGTTTCCCACGGTCGCTCAGCCCCTGGGTCCCCTTCTAATAACAGGGTACGGATGGGATTCCCATGAGGGCAGCCGTAGGAACATTGAACCTGCGAGAGGCCGCCTCCGATTGACCGCGGATGAGATTCCAAGTGGCAACTGTGGGAAACAACGTACCTGCCAGTGGCCAATGTGGGCAACCGTGGGAAACATTGGTCCTCCGACTCTGACAGAATCCAGTGGACGTCAAACAGCAGTCTCTCAAATGTACCACAATCAAATCGCAGTGCTAGAATGCCCTCTTCCTGCATCAGCATCTTTGGTGCCAGATGCAGTGATGGTCAACAAGGTTGTCCACCTCCTAGTACGGTTTCTGCCTCTACCAGGCGATCATCTCTGCTTTGCTTCACCTCTGCTTTACTGTGATGACCGGCTCTCGGGTGTGGTGCTGATGTACGCCCTGAGGACAACCTTATTGACCATGACTATACAGTCGCAAAATTCCTGTGTGCTACGATCAGCCGAAGGCCCATATTGACTCAAGGCTTCCTACATTGCCTATGATGTCAAAACCCTGAACCAGGCTCCTCTGGCCCCGCCAGTTTTCCGCCGAACATGCTTTCGACGCTGCCTCCGTCCCAGGGACGGGGCCGCCCCGGGACGTCCTTGCATTGCCGCCCCAGGCGGTGTCTCCAATCATGTCATCCTTCCCCTGGGGATTCTTGCATCTGGGAGATCTTGTCTCCGACGTCGATCGGATCTCAGCAGCCCCTCCATCACTCTCCGGTCGCTGTCCCACCGGCGCGTGTTCTGTGGTTCTTTTTGTTCCACCACAAGATCACAATCAGCCGTGCCCCAGAATGGGCAACCGCGGGAAACCGAGCATTTGACCAGCGAATGCTCCAAAAGGGTTTCCCACAGTGATTGGTTTGGTAGCTTCCAGAGTTACAGCCAAAGGCGATGCTACTCCGAGAGCCTACGATGAGTGCGCTTGGGCAACTGCTAATGGGACATTATCTGGAGCATGATTTCGAAGTCAGTTTCACAAGCCCAACCGCCTGAGCTGCTCGTATGGCAACCATGTATTCTGTACGACCCACATGTGCTCGTAGTTTGTCGCAGACGTGCGAAGGTGAATGAGAACCACGGCCTGTTTGAGCAGCGTTTAAATCAACTTCGGCGCGCACATGTCATGCGTTGCGCCCATTTCCATGCCCATCCCGCTTTTTTGCGACACTTCCTCCACTACTATTCCTCGCGACCTGCCCAGCTCTGGCAATGCCTCGCAGTTCGAAGAGGCCAACGGGCCTCCCTCGCGTTCTTCGCTCGTTACGCCCCCCAACACCATCAAGGGGGAGGAACGCGAAATGGGACCGAGGCGGCAAAGAACTTTCTTCGTTGCCTCAGACAAGATGGAACGATAGGAAGCACATCCTGTACTGTGTGAACCTGCCGAACCGCTTGTCTATACGTCACTGTCTGGTCCCGGACCGCTGTGTGTTCCGGCCATTCAACAGCAGCGGTCTCCACGGAACTTCGAAGTTCTTGACGCACAATAGTCGCACGCTACTGTAATCTAGCGCAATCAACACACGTACTAGTTATCACCGAGACACCTGTAAACTGCGGCGGCTCGGTGGATGCAGACGACGGCGCCTTGAGGACGGTACATCCTGCTGTTTCTGCTACAAACTTTTAAAGCGCCTGATTTCCACAGCCCGAATAACGGAAGGATGGAAGTGGGAAAGCGTCCTCGAGCCCAATAAGACGCCAGCGGGAGCAACTGCTACGTTGAACTTTTCAAACGGTAGAGATAGAAGTCATCAGCAATGCATGACGGTCGTGAAACATGCATCTAGGACTGGTACACAATGGCGGAGCCCACTTGTGCATTGAACACCTGACCGGGAGTGCTCGACAGACACTGGGCCTTGGAAGCAACCAGCGAACTGCTGACAGTCGCACTGGGAGTGCTTTCAGGACACGCGTTCTGAGTAGTTACAGCATCCAACAGTGGCCTCGAGGTTCAGGCGCAAGCAAGCACGTTGAGATCCGGCCAATCACTCTAGAATAACAAGCCACGCGCCCAACGGACCGTAGGTGCGCGCGCCGAAGACACCAGTGAGACAGCATCTGCGAAGTGAACCCAGTCACAACCGGTGCCTCAGCCCTGGCGGCCGGCAGTCCACCCAAGATATGTAGCAGCAAGCAACACTGGCAATCTGTGCAAGGCATGCCCATAAAGAAAACCAGAGCGGCTCATTGCGGCCATCAGCAAGCAGAAGAGTCGACAAGTCAACTGATGCTGCCCGAGCTGGACCTCTGACACCAGCAGCAGCACCATCACGGAGTTCAAGCTGCCCGCACGGTGATGCCAACGCCATGGCAGACAGGGGGATATACGGTGTATGACGTTGAACAGCAGAACTCGAAAACACGAGAGCTGACCATCTGTGATGTCGCACAGGTGCAAGGCTTCCTTGACAGGCAGTTCTGCTTACTTAAAGCTGCACATTCCCATGGGAGGAGCGCGATAGGGATCGGGCGTGCGCGGCCAGTGGTAGGGCTTGTGGGATCCGACTCGTTCATGGTCTGCCTCCTGACTCCAGCCGTGTCAAGAACTGAGAAACGTCTGGTAGTTTTAAAAAGTCCCTCAGCTTTCCCACGGTCAACCCGATTCTCCCCCAATCGGACACCGTGGGAAACATCGCATCCGCCGCCTTCAACTCGGTGTGCCCTCCAATTCGTCCCACCGTGGAAAAGCTATCCGTCCCTTGGACCGAGGATACCGTGGGAAACATTGTAATTGCAAGGCGTCACCTCCGACTCCCTTTTCCTCATCGCTCGTCCGCTTGTCCCGACTGCCGCGTAACACCCAAGCTGGCACGGGCCTCAGTGGGAGGCTGTGTCTCATTGCTCCATAACCAAGCTCAGCATCCACCACTGTCTGAACAGGTCTGTACAGGTCCGAGGTTACGTAAACGAACTGGTGCCTGATGTCCTACGTAATCAGGCATCTGGTGGCGTGATAGACCATTTCGGGCCGGAAGCCAGAGCTCGAGAGCCGGCAGATACCGCTTTGAGCCGTTGGAACATGGAACTACATAACATCACATCAGCGTCTGAGGTGGGCGGTCATGCAACTACACTTCTTCCAGAACATCAGCAAGGACGAAGATGACTGGTGTTCAGGTCGGCTGGATTGGCTTGGGGGCCATGGGGGCTGGCATGTCAGCAGTGCGTTGTCAAGCCCGATATTTACTGACGGCAGAACCTCGTGACCCGTGGCTTCAGTGTCAAGGCGTTCGATGTCTACGGCCCGTCGCTGGAGAAAGCAAAGGAACAGGGAATAGAGGCGTGTTGTACGCCTGCATCAGCGGCAGAGGGTGCGCAAGTGCTTTGTCTCATGGTTGTGAACGCAGCACAAGTAGACGAAGTGCTGTTCGGTGCCGAAGGGGCAGCCGCGGGTGAGTACACGGTCGAAAAACCTACTGAGTCGTCGCAGCGCTTCCAGCTGGGAGCTCGGTCATCTGCTTCTCGACAGTGCCACCCAGCTATCAGGTGAAGCTCCGCGGGCGTCTTGATGACTTGCACAAGGACATTGGTGTGAGTTTATCGTTTGTTTGCCCGCCTTCTGACGTGATCAGCTTGTCGATGCCCCCGTATCCGGAGGCTTTGTGCGTGCTGCGCAAGGACAGCTGAGCATTATGGTATCGGGCACCGAGTCGGCCATCAAGGTCGCGCGTCCGGTGCTCAGCGCCTTGACCAATCCACCGGCGGGCTCGCTGGCCATTGTCGGTAACGATGTGGGGGCTGCCAGCAATTTCAAACTCATCAACCAAGTTCTCTGCGCGATACATATTGCGGTGTCGGGGTGAGTAGGCCAGTCGTCTAGAAAGAGAAGCTGACTTTAGCGAGGCCATGGCGCTCGGTGCAAACCTTGGAGTGAATCCTCGCAAGCTGTACAACGCTTTGAAAGATTCAAGCTTTATGTGTGGGTGTTGGTGACAGTTCCCGTAACTCACTTCTTCAGTTGGGAACCGCGTTCCTTGGCAGCTGCAACGCGACGGCATCCCCAAGTCTGCCATGACGATTATCCATAAAGATGCCGGAATCGTCATGGATGAAGCCAAGCTGGCAGCGTTCCACGCTCCGCTTTCTGCCGTCGCCGAGCAGGTGTTTACCGCCGCCCTCTCGGCGGGTTTGGGCAAGGAAGACGATGGAAATGTTGTCATGCTATGGGAACGCTTGGGCGGCCGAAGCGTGGCCGAGCAAGGGTCCGCAAAAGACGCGGAGGAGGAGGCACAACAGCCTGGAGGAGAAGAGGCCATTGAAACGATTTCGGACTTGTTGAATGGCGTTTACATTGTGGCGGCAGCCGAGGCGCTCGCGTTTGCAAGGCGGAAGGGCATGGACCTTGCCGATGTGTTCAAGGTAGTAGGCACATCAGCGGCCACGTCCAAACCTCTCGTTCGGTTCAAGGACGAGCTGTCCTGGCCCGACAAACACTCGCCTGTCGCCGACCAACCGAGTGTGGCCGCGACATTGACGAGCTTGAACACTGTGCTGCGAGAGGGGAAGCGTGTGAACACGCCGCTGTTCCTCACTCAGGCTGCACAGCAAGTTTTCACCGTTGCTGCAAACAAGGGGTGGGAGCATGAGGGAGCCAGCATTATTGGCAAGCTTTGGTCCTAAAGATTGCTGGTAGCGGTGCATGAATGAATATTGAATTGACCGGCATGTAGACCTTCAATGCCACCACATCTTTTGCATCGGCATTGCCTACTTACATACGTGATTGAAGATCTCCGAGTCTTGAACGCTCGCTCAGTCAGCCAAGGGTAAGGACCTGCTGCCCAATGAACTGCTCTCCCGGTTTGATAGACTTCCAGTCAGAGACAAAGCCAGGCTCGATGCAGACAAAGTGGTCCCAGCCACCATCTTCCATGTCGCCCATCTTGCTCCCTGTCGCTTGCCCGGGGTTCCAGATAGTCGCGTCCTGGAAGCCCCTGAACCGCACCTTAACGGAGCCACCGTCGGAGTTGATGTCGTCAACACGAATCTCCTGCGATGGAACCTTCTGATAGACGCGGTCGAGCTCGCGATCGACAAGAAGGGGTCCAAGGGGTGTCTCCTCCTCCTTTCCGCCCAAGGTCTTGTCCTTGTACACGGTTCCGGCCTCGATACCGGTAATTTCGATCTTTGAAGCATCCTCAACTCGGAGGTACGTGTGCAGGAGCGCCTGGAACTTGAAGTCGTCGGCACCATTGTTCTGCACGTGCAGGTCGGAAACAAGCTGGTGGGCGGCGAGAGTGACAACGTAGGTAAGTCCCACGGGGTGGGGGAAGCTCGCAGGCGGGGAGGGAGCGACCAAACGAACGGAAACGCCGTCAGCGTTGTCGAGCACGACCTTGTCAAGCTTCCAGGTCTGGTTCCTTGCGTAACCATGCTGTTTCAAAGCGGCGTACTCGGGCGGAGAGGAAGGAGGCGGCCCGAAAATGGGGAAGACGATAGGGATACCACCACGGATGGCGGCAGAGCCATCTAGATGAGCCTTCTTTGACAGGAAGATGTGCTCTTGACCGTTAACCTTCCAGGAAGTCACTGTAGCGCCATAATAGCTGTTGTCAGCCGAGATTCCCATGTGGATACTCCGCCTCACTAAATCTCAGCCGAGGCGCCCTACCGTCAGCTCCTCGACTTCCAATCGTGCGCTTACACTAGGGTGCTTGAGGGTAATGCTCTTCTCGTTCTGTTCAACGGGCATGATGGTGAATGAGAATGTCGTGGACAGTTCGAGACCACCTGACTCGAAGCTGTGAGACCGAATATATGAGAGTGGCCACGACGTCATCACAACATTGCCGCTGCGACCGTGGTAAACCTGAACTCTTGGCCCGATGGCCGTTCCACGTAAGCCGAGGTTCGGTCATGTTCGGAGTCCAGAGCAACTCAGTCATGACGGACAGCGCTCACACCTTTTTGCACTACGCCGAGGAGCTTGACAACCGCTCGTGTTCGTGAGCACTAAACCGCTTGAAAAGTGGACCACGCGCAGAATCCTCCTGCCCCGAGACACCAACGCCCAGCACCACCCGTGGAAGCCGTCACTTGCCGTTGAAACTGCGGCGAGACCAAGATAAACCAGATAAAAGCGTCGGAATGCCGGCCCGATGTGATGGTTGGCCCGAGGGCGGACCCCTTGTACCGCACTGCACGTTGTTGCGTGCTAGGTCGCGAGCGGCTCTGCGCCTGCCCTCCACTAACTGCAGACTGACAACGGATGCGTTTGGATGGTTTACGGAGAACGTGGATATGTTGTACGCCTGGGTACAATGCAAAGTGTCTTGATCAGGACTCTCAGGCTTTGGTGACGGGAAGCTTGTGGTGGTGGTGGTTACATACTGCCTGGGACCATTCCGTCAGCCAACGGCTACGGCTGCCGAATTGGTGTGTTGGCTGGGGTGGCTGGCTGCGTCAGCAACGTCATGAAGCGGACCTGGATTCCGCTCTCATGACCAAGGGTTGCCATCGGCAGTCGCCCAGACCCTGATGGAATGACTAGTCGACACCACTCTGGGGACTCGGCCCCGGGTGCGCGGGGCGGGGGTGCACAATCTGCCCCCGTACAGTCTCATGGTCGCACCCCCAATCTCGACCAATGCCGCAACTCACCTCCCCCATCTTATAACTACTCCTTCCTTCATCGCTCTCGAGCATATCCCTCTCGCTTTCAATTTCTCTAATCCATCCTAAACAAAATGTCTGAAGCTGTGTGAGTCTGCTACTCTTGAGCTGCTGAAACAAGGTAGTTCATGCTAACTAGGCAGCGCCGACATCGGTCTCATTGGCCTCGCGGTCATGGGCCAGAACCTCATCCTCAACATGAACGACAAGGGATTCACCGTTGCCTGCTACAACCGGTATGTTTTTGAGACCCCCTGTGATCGCGCTGACTTTGCGCAGTACCGTGTCCAAGGTTGACCACTTCCTCGCGAACGAGGCCAAGGGTAAGTTTCTGACATACTCGGCTATTTTCTGACCGTAGGTACCCACATCATTGGATGCCACTCGGTTGAGGAGCTCTGCAAGGTCCTCAAGCGCCCTCGCCGCGTGATGCTTCTCGTCAAGGCCGGTGCCGCTGTTGACAGCTTCATTGACCAGCTTCTTCCCTACCTCGAGAAGGGTGACATCATCATTGACGGTGGTAACTCCCACTACCCTGACTCGATCCGTCGCTGCAAGGAGCTCGAGGCCAAGGGCATCAACTTTGTCGGAATGGGTGTCTCTGGCGGTGAGGAGGGTGCCCGCAACGGTCCTTCGCTCATGCCCGGCGGTTCCGAGGCTGCTTGGCCCCACATCAAGGACATCATGCAGAAGACTGCCGCCCAGGTCGAGGGCGAGCCCTGCTGCGACTGGGTCGGTGGTACCGGCTCTGGACACTACGTCAAGATGGTCCACAACGGTATCGAGTACGGAGACATGCAGCTCATTGCCGAGGCCTACGACATTCTCAAGCGCGGTCTCGGTCTCGACGAGGACGAGATTGCCGACATCTTTGCCAAGTGGGAGGAGGGTGTCCTCAAGTCGTTCCTGATCGAGATCACCCGCGACATTCTCCGCTTCAAGGACACCGACGGAAAGCCCATCGTTCCCAAGATCCTTGACAAGGCCGGCCAGAAGGGCACCGGAAAGTGGACCGCCATTGACGCTCTTGACCGCGGTATTCCGGTCACCCTCATCGGCGAGGCCGTCTTTGCCCGTTGTCTGTCCGCCCTGAAGGATGAGCGTGTCCGCGCCTCCAAGATCATCTCTGGCCCCAAGCCTGAGCCCTTCCAGGGTGACAAGCAGCAGTTCATCAACGACCTTGAGCAGGCCCTCTATGCTTCCAAGATCATCTCCTACACCCAGGGCTTCATGCTCATGCGTCAGGCTGCCAAGGACAACGACTGGGACCTCAACAACGCTGGCATCGCTGCCATGTGGCGCGGTGGCTGCATCATCAAGTCTGTCTTCCTCAAGGACATCACTGCCGCGTACCGCCAGAACCCCAACCTCGAGTCGCTCATCTTTGCTCCTTTCTTCGCCAAGGCTCTCGAGCAGGCTCAGGCGGGATGGCGCCGCGTCAACGCCCAGGCTTCGCTCTGGGGTATCCCTATCCCCGCCCACGGCACCGCCCTCTCGTTCTTCGACGGATACCGCACTGCCGTTCTCCCCGCCAACCTCATCCAGGCCCAGCGTGACTACTTCGGTGCCCACACCTTCCGCGTCATGCCCGGTCAGGAGAACGACCACCTCAAGGACGGCGAGGACATTCATCTCAAGTGGACCGCCAACTCTGGTGACGTCTCGTCCTCTACCTACAACGCTTAAGCGTGTTTATATTGTATAGGTGCGACTGTAGTTTAAAAATGATATCAAATGAATCTGAAGTTCAGACCGTTCGCTGCGGAATGTCGCCAGTACCAAGGGCTTGCCCGCTTCTGTCAGTCTCTACGCGGTGCGTGTGCGAACCATGTGTCTAGTGCCGGACCATGTGCATGGAGTGAACTCGCTCTGATAGCCGAGCCCATATCAGAAAGGGAGGGCTGATCTTCAGGGGGCGGGGATTGGGTGACCGTGGGAAAGCGAACCGAGAAAGTTAGGATTTCCGTCAATTCGCGCTCTCTCCTGACAGTCTCAACAACAACAATTATGGCTACAACTTCCAAGAAGACCAAGGTCAGGGCTCCTTCGCCAGCCCCGAGCACTTCCTCCGACTCGTCCTCCGCATCCCAGTCCTCCGTTGACTCGAACGATATCGATGTCGCTCCCGTCGCCCCAGTCACGAAGAAGCAACGCAAGTCCAAGCCGGGAGAGAGGCTCTACTACGAGCCACCCCCCGGAATGGAGCAGGTGCGCATCAACGTCAACTACAATAGCATTTTTGAGTGGGACAATCTGAACTCGAAGGAAGGACTGGAGGTGTGGGCGATCCGTTTGCCTGTCGACGTGAGTAACCTCTGAGCGGGTCAGCGTTAATGCCATTAGCTGAAGCCCTCGCATCTTTCGGGGCTGTCAACGAACGTGAAACGCGACAGGGTTTCGGGAAGTCTGACGCACAAGTCTGCGACTTATGAGCTCACCGAGTCGGAAGACATCTCGGACCTCAACAGCTTGAATCTGCTGGTTCCGAAGAAGACGAGTGGGCATTTGTTCCGCGCCCCGTTGCCGATCAAGCGCCACCTCATCATCCAGCCCCCGAAAGAGGACAATCTCGTGTCCAGTTCGAAGAAGAAGCTGGAGAGTGAGAACAGGAGTACGGGTCCCATCCCCAACAAGACGCGTCAGATGCCCTCGAACATGAAGTTCAGGAATCCGGTGAACGGGTTCGACACGCCTGGACCAGCAGCGCGCCCGCAGATTGCCGATGAGGTGAAGGAGACCGTCACGAGCAAGGAGGACAAGGCGGCAAAGAAGGAGGAGAAGGAGGAGAAGAAGAAGAAGAGGAAGTCTGAGGCAGGAGAATCACCGGTGAAGAAGAAGAAAAAGTAGTATTCTCTCGCTGGCTTTCCATAGATTATGCATTTGGGTACACGATACAACACAGCGTTCTATACACTACTGCAAGGCCAAGGGGTCTTGACCTCTGAACAACCAATGAACCTTGCGCGATAAACTGGGTCCCACTCGTCGAGACGCTGCGGCTCCATTCTTCGAATTGCGAATCTCACAGTCCATCAAGAGGTTTTCAGCCGTATTTAGATCAGCCTCACCCTCATAGGCTTCCATCAACTTTCGGAACGAAGGATAGCGAGTCGTGATACCGCTGGCAGCAGACGCAGTCAGTCCGTTGACCTCTTGCAGCATGAGCTCGAGGGCGGGCATAGCGTCTACTGCTTTTCGAGGATGGTCAGGAGCTGAGAAAGGCAGGTGCGATTTCTCGAGCAACTTATACTGCGGGCTTCAGCGATGCTCTCACACGTGCAAACTTACGGGTTTCGCGGCGATGTCTCCTGCGAGGTTGAAGATCCAGTCTTCGATGTCCTCTGTTCTTTCAACTGTACGTCAGCGCCGACTAGCTCGGTGAGACTGCACCTTGAACAACGAGAAGGTACTGAGATAGCTGGGCCTGCAGTAGCTCGGCTTCGACTTGTTCCTTTTCCACACGCGTTCTGAAGGTAGTGCTGGCCTCTGTCGAGCTCGCCCTGCCCGTTGACAGGCCCGCCCTCGCCGAGTCGCGGAACGCCTTATTTACAATGGAGCGCGTTTTGGAGTGATACTTTTCGAGCCCGCGAACGAGTAGGAGCAACTGCTCGTCTGGCGCAAGAAACAGGGTGAGCCGTACGTCCGCGATCCACTCTGCGAGCTCTCCGTCACCGAGCAAGATGCGGTCCACTACTTCGTCGGCAGACGCGACCAGAATTGTTGTGGTCTCCCACTCTGTCCTCGGGTTGTCAAGGGGGACAAACCGCTTTTCTGATGCGCTCCATTCGGCGGATACGTGTCGCAAGAAGCGGATCGTTCCTCCAACGATAGTATCGGTCTCCGGGACTGTCACAAGTCTGGACAGAGAATCTTCCACACGCTTGCGGATTTCCGGCATTGCACCCGCTATCGGGGAGGAGGGAAGCATCAGGTCGTGCGCCATATGAATCTCAACCTCGCGCAAAGCTTCGCTTTTGGTTTTGCGCAGCTTCGGTCAGCCGAGGCCAGTCAAGTACCACTCACTCGATTTACTTCCTTGAGCTTTTTCTGATAAGACCGTTCCGCTTCCCTGGCGGCCTGGCGCGTCAGCGACGTTCGCGCAAGTGCATGTGTCACCTTTGCTTCATCACGCGCACGCTGTCGGTCATTCTTCTCCTGAAGCTTCCGACGCTCTCGCTCTGCTCTAGCCTCCGCCCTCTCCCTGTCCTTCGCCTCGGACGCCGCACGACCCGCATCGCTTGTCGTAGCCGTCCTCCTCCGCTTCTTACGTGGCTCGGGGGATTCTGCTGCGGACGTTGTAGGCAGCGTTTGTTCGTCCCAGTTGTTCTCTTCTAGTACGCTGAGTATCGAGCGAGAGGTTGACACTGTCAGAGTCCTTCGTGACATCTCTGCGGTTGTCGCGGTCTCTGAAAAGGTGAGCCGCTCGGCGCGTACGATCGAGGCGCCGTGTTGTCGGATGGCAGTAGTAGACGAGTCATGTCGCTTCGGAAGAGATGCAGACGCGAGAATGGAGTCGAGATCCGCGCCGTCCGAGTCGGTGTCAGAGTCGACCAGTGTGTACACGTCTGCGCTCCTCGAGGTGCGGACAAAAACAGGGGAGGTGGACACATGCGCCGTCCTCGAACGTGAGCCCACAATTGCTACGTCGCTGTCCGAGTCATCCGAAAGGACGACGATATCTATAGTCAGTCAGAATGTCGCATGGGTAAGGGGTATTTACCTGGGCTGGACATTGGTGGTGGGTGGAGAAACAACAACAACAACAAAACGGGGATGACACCAGGTGAGTGGACCGATCAGGCACGGCAACGCGCGTTTTTGCTCCACCACCATCAGAAACATCCAAGACGTGTGCAACACGACATTATGCCATCGCAGTGTAATTCTGTACAACTCCATACGTTTACCAAAGCCTTCGTATGAGTGGGCCATTGCGGCCAAGGGTATTATAATTACATGACAATGCAGCAAGAGTTTTGCTGGAAAGTCAGCGCTATACTCTATCCAAACGCCTACCTTCTTGGCAGTCTTGTAAAACATCTTTGACTGAGCAGACAGTGTGTTGGAGCGCTCAACAAGGTTGTCAAGGTTCTCGCCTCGCTCCAGAACCGACTCGATGGTCTTGTGCTTCAAAAGTCAGCGCGTTGCGATATCCGCATTACTCACAAGGACGACCTTTGTCTCGTCGAGCTCCTGCTGGACTTTCATGATGGTGTCAGCCTGCTTGGGGTCCTGGTACTTGGCCAGGTAGGTCGACAGCGTTCCCTCGAGCTTGCCCTTCTGAGCAGGCGGCAGGCCTCCAGCGGCGTTCTGAGAAGGGTTGCCTCCAAAGGCCGAGGCGGCGGCAGAGGCGGCCGAGGGCGCAGCGTCCGGGTTGGGGAGCTGTGCAAGCAGGGACGCATTCTCATCCAGGAGCTTGTTCAGCAGAGAGAACGCGGGGCGGAACGGATACTCCATGTCCGTGATCATAACGGCTGAGGTTAGGCCATCTCAAAACCGGTGCGTCGACTCACCTGCCATGCCGGGGCTGTTGGCGGTGCGGCCAGGGATGCGCATGATGTGAGCCTTGTAGCCGTTCTCCTCGACCGATGACGGCTGGTTGGGAGGCGTCCTCTCCGCGACAGTCTGCTTTGTCAGTCCTCGTGTAAACTTCGGCGATCGTACCTGGGCAAAGAAGGACATGAACTGCGCGATGCTGCCACGCTGGAACATGGAGAAGCTGCTGAGATCCTGGGCCGAGCCAAGGACAGCGGCCTTGGCGGGGTTCCCAGAGGACACTGAGAGAAGGGTGAGCTGGTAGACCTTCATCGTTGAACGCTTCGGTGCGAGTGATAGGATTGTGCGATGAGGCGACAAGGTCGACGATGGTGGTGCTGTCAAGCCAGTGTTGCCGCCGCGGAGGCAAACCGGCCTCCATGATGCTACTACGAAAGCGACCTCTGGGAAGGAACGAGCGTGACGCAGGACCACGTGGTTCAGCATATCCAGTGCCCAAGCTCGAAGGTGGTAATGTTGGTTGACGTCGTCTCTCCACATCTCAGCCATCGACCACATACAATCTTTTAGCATCCATCCGTCTTTGTACTTTTAAGACTCAGCGCCAACACTTACTGAACACTTGGGACACTGGGACATCTCCGAAATGTCAGAAGGACTGCCGGATGACGCCTGGGCCAATGCGTTCCAGACGGCCGCTGCGAAGCCGCTCCTTACTGCGTTACAACGTCGGCTTCATGCCTCAACCAACCATGTGAACTCTCTCGCTGAGCTGCTTCACGAGCGGTCTGTCATCGAGCAGGAGTATTCGGCCAAGCTGCTAAAGCTCGCTCGCGCGGCCGACGCTGGCCAGCTCGGCGGGAAGGGCGGTATAGAGTGGGAACGCAACGGTGGAGAAGCCCGGTTGTGGAACACGGTCGTGTCCGACCTGACAGAGGTGAGAGCTTACGAGCCAGGCAGTGCTAATTGTTAGACCGCAGCATCGCACTCCACATACGCGAACATTCTCAAGTCCGATTTTGAGCAGCCAGTTCGCGATCTCCCAAACAAGATGACAGCCTGGCGCCGCATTGGTGATCAAGAGTCGTCTCTGGAGCGAGCACTCAAGGACTATGAAAAGGTTTCTGTCAAGCTCGACAAGGCGTCATCCAAGTCAAAGTCCAGCAAAGCTGAGCAGCTCCAGCACGAGCTGAGCCAGCTGACATCGCAACTGAACCAGTTGACGCCGGCGACGTACAGTACCTTCCAGAGGCTCGACGAGGAAAGGCTTCGTGCCCTCAAAGAAATCGTTGTGCGCTGGGCCACCCTCCGGGGAGATATGGCCACCAAGTCTGGCGAGCGTGCAGAGACAGCTGTCGCGTCCATCTTGGGCTGGGAGCCAACAGATGAAGTCATCTCTGTCGGTAACCGTCTCTCGAGAGCGCACAATGGATCCGAGGTTCGCGCCTCACCTTCGACGCCTTCTGGAGGTGCAGCTGGAGCCGGAAGCCTTTCTGTGGAAAGCACTCGTACGTTCACAGCGGCCCGTCACCTTGCTAACAATGTCAAGCGAACCGACGTGCTTCCATGCAGTCTCCGCCCGCTCCCGACTTTGGACCGCGTTCCGGAAGCCTGTCGAACGGCTCTGGTCAGACCCCAACTCAGAGCGGGTTCAGCGGCCTCAAGTCCATGCTTGCCCGCAAGGCCACCGTGCGGAATCGCAGTGGGAGCGAGGCCACCTCCGTTTACAGTGGTCGCCGCGCGCAGCAGAGCGAACCAGCCTTTGCTGCTCTCGGTGAAGACACGGTCCGTCCGACCTCGAGGCAGCAGGTTCAGCGCGAGTTCTCGGACCAAAACACGCCTACCAAGGCGCAGTCGCCACCTGTCGACGCAGAAGGCTTCTCCATCGCTCCTGCTGATCGCCACCGCAACCCCTGGGACGAGCCGACCGAAGAGTCGCCCTCCCATTCGTCAAACCATCACGGTGCAGCGGCCGCTGCTGCGACAGGAGCCGGCGTTGCTTTACCCTCGGCCATTTTTGCGTCGCAGAGAACCGAGTCGCCAACCCCGGTCCACAATGATCGCGCGAGTACCATCGACTCCATCTCCAGCGACCAAACTCACCCTCGTTTAAACTTGGCGCTGTCGTCGGCGCCCATCGAAGAAACTGAGGAGCAGCGCCAGGCCGCCCTTGCCAAGATGCAGCAGACGCTGCGGATGCCTCCGCCCGCTCCAAACCGCCGATCGACAATCACCCGCGGCAGACGTGATGCTCGTAACACGATGCAGGCGTCTGCCGCTGAGCACCCCATCCCCCAAGCGCACATGGCAGCGCTGGCCCGCATGGGGGAGGAAGAGCAACTTGCAGAGTCGCAAGGAACGGTGACCTCAAGTTCCCAGCCGGCACGCCGTCTGTCGTCGTCAAGTATGACCTCGGCCTCGTCGCGCAACCCCTTTGATTCTCCCGGCCTGCAGGCGGCGAATCGGCAGCCTGCCGACAACATTGAGAAGCAAATCCCAGGTGTTCCCTCGCAGAACGGCCAACAAGCTTTGTCCTCAGAGCGGGTTGCTCCTAGCGGCGCAGCTGCAGCTGGAGTAGCAGCGGGCCTGGGAGCGGGAGCGCTCGCCGTTGGTGCCACCTCGGGCCACCAAAGTGGCAACGTTGTTGCTTCCCCCACTTCTGCTGTCAACGGCTCCCAGGCAACAAGTGCTAGCGTCCAGTCTGGTGCCACAGCTGTTCAGCCCAAAGCGTCCCAGTCTCAGGTGACCATTCAGGATGGGCTCAATGCCACGATCATTGAGACTGTCGACACATTGATGCACCAGTACGCGGCTCAACAAATTGCCATTACTGGTGAAATCCACTTGACTTTATCGACACCGCCGCCGCCTGGAACATCAACGTCCATCAGACTGACCGAGTTTGACGCTTTGGAGTCTGTTTCGCCCAACCCTGCGTTCTTGGCCCAAGTCCCTGACAGCCCTGGCGAGTACTACCTCAACACGGACCTCCTGGCTCAGACCACGTCGAGTCCAGAAGCCGGGCCGCATGGGCCGGTCCTGTTCACGTACCAGGTTCTTGTGCCGCAGGGTCAGGAGAACGCAATGTCCCCGGTTGGTTTGAACCCGGCCTTCCAAGCCAAGGAGGGTGAAACGCGTATGATTTTCCACTATCGCGCCAATGCGCCGGTTCAGAATCTTGGCCTATCGGCCATCTTCCCCGCCGACCCGAGCGTCAGCACGACCCAGTCGAAGCCAGTCTCAGCGACCTGGGCACCCTCCGCGGAGAGCCCAGACCTTACTGTGGCTTCCTGGGCTGCTCCCGTTCCCCAGGTTGGATCGGAGGGCAAGATCATTGCCCGCTTCTTCACTGCCCCCGGGCAAAAGCTCGTCCCTAGTGGCGTGGATGCTCGTTTCGTCATCCCCAACCATCTCGCCTCTGGTCTTGGCATTGAGACAACCTCTGCCGACGGTGAGGAGAAGGTCTTGTCGTTCAACAATGTCATTCGGACAACCGTCTCTGGCCGATACGTCGGCGACGTCACTCTGAACCCGTAGTTTCCAATTAAAGACATATTTACATAGCTAATCATGCAAGGGAAATTGACAGAAAGGAGAATGCCTATAGAGGTGCCTCTCCGCGCAACTCACGGTTCACTTCCTCCAGACGCTTCTCCCACTCTCCAACATCGTTGCCAAGCATGCGCTCGAGACGCTCAATCTCCTTGTCGAGCTCGAGCTTCTCCTCGTGTGTCCCCGACGACAGCGTTGTGAGTTGCCATCCCTGCGAAGCCAGGGGGGTCGAGGGGGTTCCGAGAGCGCTCTGCAGGTTCGCAGTGGACAGGGAAGGGTGCAGCGTCGGTTCGCCGAGGCGCAGGTGGCGGTTGTGATACTTGAGGAGAGAGGGGCGGTGGCTTACCTAGTTAGTTTCATGTAACGCTTTGCCCTACTGTACTCACGAAATGGTAATGAGAGTGATACCGAGCGACTTGGCGTGCTCGTACATGAGACCCTCGACATCCGTGGACACAGCCGAGGTGCACTCGTCAAGGACCCCATACTGCGGGCGGTGATAGAAGAGACGAGCCATACCCATGCGCTGCTTCTCGCCTCCCCTGTGGCATTGTCAGTGTGTGCGCCAAACGGTGCGCGGGTAACTCACGAGAGGACGTCCTTCCACTCCTTTCTCGTGTCCCAGCCACCCTCACGTCCGGGCAGATAGGCGAGATGCACGTGCTTGAGAATGTCCATGAGCTCGCTGTCCGTTCGTCCACGTGCCTTCATCTCGGCATACGTGTGTGGGTAGATGACCTGGTCGCGCAGACTGCCGATTGACAGGTAGGGCTTTTGCGGCAAGAAGAAGATACCGCCCTCGCCCTGGGTGGGGCGCTCGAGGAGGCCAACCCAGGCCGGCCACAGCTGGGCAATGACGCGAGCGATAGCCGTCTTGCCCACACCGTTGGGACCAGTGATGAGCGTGTGCTCGCCCTTCTCGACGCGGAGGTCAAGGCTGCGGATGAGCTCCTCTCCGCCGCGCTCCGCGCCGGCAGCACCACCCGCGGGCGCGACAATCGGGACACCACGGAGAAGGACGTGGTTCTTGCCGAGGATCACGCGACCAGAAACGTTGGACAGGTCGTAGAAGCGCTAACGTCAGCGATGTTCATTTCCAAGGCGGCTCACCTCGTTAGGCGGCAGCGACTCGGGTCGCGGGTTCTCCGGGTAGCGGTTTTCGTCGAGAGCGTGCAGCGACGCCAGGAGAGAGTACACGCGGCTGGTGTATCCGGAAAGCTGAGCGAGCTCTTTGCCAGAGTACATGAGACGGCCGCCGGCGTCTCCGAGCGACAGCAGGAGGCGGCGGTTGGAAACGTAGCTCTCGGTGCGGCTTGCGACCTCGTTGTGGAGCTCCGCAGCCGATGTCTCCCCCTGGATCGCTTGCGTGGCGACGGGGTAGAAGACGGGGATTGACATGAGGCCGTAACCAACGGCAGACCAAAAGTATTTGATGACGAAGTCCTCGGTCATGCCGTACGGAATGCGCGACTGATGTTAGTTCACTCCAGCGCAGGCACTCACCTTGAAGATTGTGTGCACATGACCGGTAAGCTTGTTGTACGCCTTCCACAGGATGGACAGCTCACGCTTGCCACCGTCGTAGAACGCAATCTCCTCACTGTCGCGTCCAATTCGGCCCAGTCCAGTGCGGTACTCTCCCTCCAGACGTGCTTGCGTCGCGGCCATGCGTCCGAACGCGGGGGTTGCCTTCTTCAGGACCCAGGCAGTAAAGTAGTACTGAGCGAACAGACCACACGTGCCGACGGGACCGAGGGAAGCCGCGAGCTGCGACGTAAAGATGACCATGTCAAGGAACGGCTTGCCCATGTTGCCGTACAGGGCTGCAAGAGTCTCGCAGAAACGGGACAAATCGGTTGTGATCAGCTGGTCAGCGCCGCCGGCTTGCGTCTCTGAGGTGTCATCCTTGCGACCGGGCGCAATCGCTCCCCAGCCTTGGCCGAATTTATAATAGTTTAGGTTGTTGTTGCTGCTGGTCAGACGTGAAACAACCACCCTTACACATACAGGTAAAGATCGTGAATGTAGCGGGTCAGATTGGTGCGGAAAGCCAAGGCTAGCTTGTGCTCAAGGAAACGGATCATCGAGTTGGTGTACGTGCTCGGCACGGCGAGAACGAACCACCATCCCAGTCCGCGGAGGAAGCCTTTCCCGTTTGCAGATACGAGATCGCGGACGATCCGGCCGTCCAGACGCGCGACAAGGACACTGAGATACGTTCTTGCGACGAGGAAGAACGTATGCAGAACAAGCAAGAATGCTTCCTTGCCAGTTTTGCTGCCTGTCAGCGCAGCAATCCAAGGCCAGCTTACCTTGGGAACGCAATGCGGAGTACAGCTGTAAGCATCTGCCAGAAACGCTTGTTGACACCGAGCTTTTCCCCCGCCTTCAGAGGCGGGAAGAGTTTACGGTGCTCGGCATACAGGGATGCGGGGGTCGGAGTGACGCGGACTTTGGAGATGACGCCGCGGTGGGGAACGAGCAGCGTACGGGAGCCCGACGGATCGGGGATATACAGGTCGACCATCTTCTTCTCGAGGGCGGGTGTGTTCCTGTTTGTGTGAGACGGCGCTGCGATCACTGTTTGCCCACAGGGGAGTTTCGCGCTCGCGTCGTCGGCGCTCTTCGCGGCGCTGCTTGCGCGTCTCGCGCCACTCCTTGAGGGATAGGGCATCACTGAGCTCCTTCAGCGCTGGGATCGGAGCAGACCGCGTCAGAGCTAGCGCAACCACGATCAAGATGGCAGCCCGTCGCCGCTCCGCCTGCGGGAACGACAGTGACGGTAGGCTAGTCATGTTGTAGGGGGGGTGGCCGTCTTGGCCGAGCGAGTGTTAGGTTGTACAATGATGGTGCAGACCGTTGTGATGCAGGTCATTGCCGGTTATTGCGTGGTGGGAGCCGACTCCCTGCGGAGCTAAACCCATGCGGGGGCCCATGGACGGATTGATCCCGGGAATCCTTATCCACGCCGGTCGTCGTGTCATGTTTTCCGCGTGGGATTCAGTGCTACACCATTAACGCGTTCTGACAAAACATGGACCGCGAAACGACTCCGACACCTGCGTCTGCGCGTAGTGAGCGCTACAGGGGAGCTGTCGTCGAGGTGCGTCGTCTTCCGCTTCCACAACATACTGACGTTGCAAAGGACCTTCAGCTGCCCCCCGCCTTTTGCGTCGACTACAAGGCGCCCTTGTCAATAGCGCTTGAGAAGGCGTACGAGCGCGAGTTTGACCAGCTCCCGTGAGATGCTTGCTGCTAGCACGGCTAACATCAGTGTTCTCAACGACAACAGGCGACCGATCGGCTACCTCGCCGTGCCCGCTCTGAAGCAAAAGTTTGAGAGGAAGGAGGTCAACCCGTCGGATCCCATCGGTGAGCTCACGGAGCTCTTTTGTTTTGGCTGACTCTCACAGCCTCGTATATGACCCATTTCCCTGTCTCCTCAAAATCGCACCCTTACACTGTCATCACCCCGGACACGGCACTGGAGAACCTCGAGGATTTCTTCAATCAGAAGGGCACGGACTTTGCCCTCGGTCAGTGTTGTCGCCGAGACTCTTTTTCTGACTTGCAGTGACGGACGCCGAGCGACGATGGGTTCTTGCGGTTGCGACACGGTCCGACCTTGAGGTGAGCGGAGTTGAGAGTCTGGCGCTGACGCACACAGACCTTTGTCAAGCGCCGCGGGGGTGCCTAGTTTGTTGTAACATGCTCTGGCATATGAACGATTGTCACGACATGTTTGCCCAGACGGGCAGCAGCGGAAGGTCAATTCGCTCTGGAGGAAGCGTTGTCACGAGATGTGGCAGCAACTTTGGTTGCCAGATGGCCCATGACGTCGTGGGCTGTGGGCATTGCAGCCCCGCGTGCGCGGAGCGTGTGAGGTTGACGAGCAGTTGTCAGAAAGCCGGCGGTGTGATGCAGTGAACCATACCCCAGTTCACCAGAGTATCATGTCTATAGTCGTGCTCCACATCTTCCATCATCTCCGTCATCCTGACAGCAGAGTCCGTCCTGTTCGGGGATGCGGCGGTCGCCACTGAATTGAGGGCGGTTGGCCGGGCTTTACCCGCGTGCGTTCGCCGTGCTTGCCGTTAAAGTTCTGGCTCGGCCGTCCGAATGCCTCCGTGGCTCCATTGGACACTCGGGCTTCAATGATACTCGGGGTTCAATTGGGTCTAATCTCGCCCAAGCAGGTCGGGCCGTTTGTCAACCCGGGCCGGCACCCCTTCGGCACAGAGATCTGACACGTGCAAACAGAATTCAAGAGAATGCACTAACCTGAACCATTCGCATACTCATAGACCGAGGCCTCTGAATAATCGCCATGTCCGGGCATGTCTATGTGACCTACGAGGCAAGGCGGACTGGCGGACTCGCCAGCGTTAGTGTTGCTTAGTGTGTGCAGCACGCATCCCGGGGAACGCGGGGAAGCCAGTGGGCGACGGAGCTCCATGAACGCCAGTGCGTTGCATGCAAACGCTGAGCGGGCGCAGCACCAAGGCACGAGGTGTAGGCATTCCAGCAATCCTCTGCAAACGGGTGCACGACGATGATCTGCATGAGAACCCTTTAACGCCGCACGCGCAGTCATGGAAGCACAGCACCACCAGGTCACCGATGAATGACGGCGATCTCTGTGGCAGTCACCGAAGGGAACCATGGACACGCTCCCGGGAAACCTGTGCCAGGAGTGAGCGACGGACGGATGGCCGACGCAGCACGGAGCACAGCGGCTCTAGGCTGGTGCTCCAGAGACCTGGAACAGGAATAGCCCAAGCACATTAAGCGACGGCCGTGCTTGCACGATTGGTCTATAGGCCAGGCGGCGTCAGGGGGTGGCGGCCAGCGAGATCTTGGACCTGGTTCTGGAGCCTGTAGCAACGGAGTATCGGAGGTGGACTGAGCCTCTGCGCCTCTGCTTGTCCGGCGCAATGTTCGGAAATCCACCTGGGCCCTGACCCCTGGGGGTGGCCAGCCCTGGACTCCCTGGATTGGGTGGCTCAGTGGCCAATTCGCCGCCACGAATTTTGACCTAAGTCGGGCATGGAGGAACAGAGGCACCCAACGCGTGTGTGCTGACTCCACCCCTTGGACCCTTACTTTCCAGGGTCGCCCAGTACGTAGCATGGGCCGTCCAGCTGCCCCTGCCCTCTGCCGCCTGCTCCTGTCGGCCACCAACTACGCCTCCAGGACTCACCGTCCACCACCAATCATCCATAGGTCATTCTTAAAGATGTCCGATACTTGGTCGTCCCCTCATCTCCCAGTCCCCTTGCACAACATCGTTCCCATCTACATACACTACCAACACATCTGAACTGCTCGGCACCTTTTAACAGCTCGGCTCTGCGCACCCCAAAGATCATCAAGTGACTGCTCCGACTTTCTCACGTCAGTCACACGACTATCAGAACACAACCCCTTTTCCCGCCCTCGCCCACAACTCGCAGCACTCAGCGATCCCAAACATGCTTTCCGGTCACGCCGGCGCCTCTCTTCTCCATCTGAACCGCCCCACTCAGCTCAATGCTCCGACCGCTCCTCCTCGCCTCGAGGTGGTTGTCAACGATGATGAGCCGGTGACCGACGGACCCTCCCAGGTTGCTTGTGAGTAGATTCGACTATCGTGTGCTGACTGTTAGCTTCCCCTACTTCCTCGATTCACTCGTCCACGGCTTTCCTTCCGCCGCGGTCCGAGCCTACGAGCAAGGTCGACCTGAACGCCGCCCAGCTCGACCGCCCGGCTCCCCTCCGCCGCTCGTCCGGCGAGAGTGGGATTTCGACGACGAGCGCCAACTCTGACAACATGGAGTGCTGTGTGGATCTTCTCCGCTCAGTGCAGCCGTCCTTGCCGGTTGCAAAGCCCAAATCCGAGTGGCAGGTGAGTTTTTAGGACTTTAGGGAACGTGATCGGAGAAGTGGAGCTGACCCTGTAGCTGGATGAGGAGTCTGCCCTCTGCAACCACCCGTTCTGCTCCACCATGTTCGGTAGCACCACCTTATCTCTCGGTCCTCGGCGTCATCACTGCCGACGCTGTGGCCTCATTTTCTGCAACACGCACTCCTCCCGCCGTCTTCCGCTGAACGCTGTCAACTCGAAGGGCGCGCTCGCCGTGCAGAACCTGCGAGTCTGTGACGGATGTTACGCCGAGGACGACGCTGAGCGGAGGGCTAGCGATGCCACGACTCCGAGCTTGACGAGTTCTGTCACTTCGGCTCCCGACGCCGACCTCGTCTCGCCTCGCCCATCGTTCCACCGGTCCCAGTCGCAGCCCACCATTTCGGAGCTGCAGACCCCGCTGGCACCGATCGAGGACTGGATGGACCGCTCGGGCATTCTCTCTCTGTACCCGCTGGCCGTTCAGGCTTCTCACTCTCGTCGATCTCCAACGACCGCGCGTGCCGCGGCGCCCCTGTTTGCGCCCTCGCTCAAGGAGCGGCGGTACGTTCAGGAGAAGGAGCTCGAGCGCCTGTTCCTGCGACAGAAGCGTAACGCACGCCCATTCTGGGCTCACTCGACCAACGCCAGCGACGCCGAGTCTGATGCGGAGGGAGGCGGCTCCTTGGCCTCCTCCTGGAGCAAGGACGAGGTTCAGTCGACGGGAACGCGCACGCCTCTTCAAGAGCGTGCTCTCGACTGGTCCACGTTCTAGGCGGCACTCTTCATGAACAAACTAATTAGAATTGCATTTGGACTTTTGGACTAGACATGTTGTGATATTGTATATGTTATCAATTATCGATCTCAAGATCTGTCGCATAACGATGGGACTGCGGAGGCCGCGCCGCTGCTAGTCGCCGGGCTGAATCAAGAGGCCCACTTTTGGCGTCCAAGGGTGCGTGCCTGGATCCCTCGTTCCTGGACTAGGCCACGCAAACTCAATCGAGCCGACCTCCAAGCCAGCGCGCGCCGGTTGAGCCAAGCTGACTCAACTGATGTCATGTGTCCATTGAAATACCAGGACTGCAGCACATCCCAACAGCCACTTAATATACATCAAGCTCATCAAGACCATGGCGGGGATCTATCGTAGGTTGCAAGCAGGTGCAACGTAGGTGGCTGACATTGAGATGGTCACTTGCTCGAGTTTCCGCTCATCCGGGTGGACTGCTTCACGAGCGCAAAGCCGAGAGACGTTTGGCTCCTTCCCCGACCATTGGTACCCGAAGTCACCGTTCCGGCACCCCCAGCGCGCTTGTTCTTGTTGACCCATGTGCACACGGATCACTTGCAAGGGCTCAGCAACAACTTTACGGGCAGGATTCTATGTCACCCCGACACGAAGCGCATGCTGCTCCGGCACGAGGAGACACCCAATCGACGTAAACTCCATGAAGGCAACACGGAGCTTGTCAAGAGGAAGTTTGCCGGGCTTGTCGAACGCCGCCAAACGAACAACATTGTACGCGATTTGCTCCTGGGTCTGCCTGGCTGACATCCCAAGGAGACTCTCCCCTACGGCGTTCCCAAAGAGTTTGATCTGGGAATCCACAACGGGGAACGTTGCGTCGTCAGCATCACCCTTCTTGATGCGAATCACTGCCCTGGATCGGCGATGTGAGCTCGCTTCAATTCAGTCATTGACCTCTTTTCATTGACGACAACCCTAGGTTCCTCATCACTTCCAAGGACAAGGCGGTCTTGCACACGGGCGACGTGCGGGCGGACAAGGTCTACATGCAGCAGCTCATGCGTGAACCTGTGCTGCAAGAGTTCCTGGTGCCTGCGTACAGCCCGTCCCCCGACCCGAGTCCGATCCGGCGGCTCGATCGTATCTACATCGATACGAGCCAATCGTGGGTGCTACTCTCCTTGAGCCTCGCTGATCATTCCCAGGGAAGACACCCAGGACATGCCCCAGAAGGTATAGTATGCTCTGCTTCTCCGCCGCTGACCGCAGGAGGACTCATTGCGCGAGATGATCTACTGCATGGCGCAATACCCCCCGGAGACGGTTTTCTTCCTGAACACCTGGTGCTGGGGCTGGGAGGAAGTCATCATTGCCGTTGCCAAGGCCTTCAAGACTCGGGTGAGCCACCACCTCTTGCGGGCCCTTCTGACCACAGGTCCATGTTGATCGGTACAAGCGCGAAGTGTACCAGGCCGTGTCCACCAAGTTGATGGAACCGTTCGTGACCAGCGACGAGAACGTGCGCTTCCACGCGTGCGAGAGATACTTTCGCTGCGAGCAGTGTCAGGACCAGTGAGTTGTTCCTTTTGATGGGGCTAACGGCAGGCGCGTTGTTCAAGTAAAGATGGGCGAGTGGAACCTTGCCGGGTCGGACATTCTTGCTGCCGCGTTTCGATCTACTCTCCAGCAGGCAAGTGCAGGAGAGATTGAGTGGCCGACCGAGATTGTGAGTCACCTCGAGGGGCCTGGCGCTAACTGCAGGTCGTCCCGTTCGCGAGGCACTCGTCGCTTCCCGAGCTTCGCAACTTTGCAGCGCGCTTCCAACCCCGCTCGCTCTCACTCAACACAAAGCTGAACGACCGACAGCTGTACAGTCTGCATGAAAATTTCATGGGTGCTGTTCCCGACGACGCAGTGCTGGCTACTCAAGCCGAGACGCGCGCATGGTTTGCTGCGTCGCCCAAGCACGGTGCCGACTGGCTCATGGCCATGGACCTCTCGGTCGTCGACAATGCAGATCCCCCGCCGTTCCTGGGCCTGAACCTCAACGTAAACCTCAACGCCGGAACGAACCGTAACCTCGGCGAAACGAACCTGCATCTGAACATTGGAAACCCGATGAGCATGCTGAACGCACTCGTCGGCGGTCCCCTCTTGACGAATGCGGCAGCACTCTTCGGTGGATCGACCCGTGTCATGCCTTCTGGTCCTGCCTCGTCTGCCGGATTGCACGCTTCGTCTCGCCAACCTGCCACATCTGGATCTACCTCATCGGTCGGGCGTGTACCCGCTCTTACCGTGAAACAGGAGGGAGAGCCGATGCCGAAAGAGGTCAAAATGGAGATCAAGGTTGAGTCCGAAGCGAGCACTGCAAAGGTGCTCTTGCCGTCTAAGGGACCGCGCAAGAGACGCCGCCCAGCGAGCAAGTATGCGGTCGACGCGGGGAGCCTGAGCAAGCTGATCAAGCGGGAGCCCGCGGAGTGAATGTGTATCGACCACCTGTGTATAAATGTGTATCGAATACCTGTGTATCAACCAACCCAGACTGTTGTGATAGTTTCTTATGTATCAGATTCATCGTAAATACCTATGCATGAAAACACTACTGTGAACAACCCCCTAGTCCATCTCATTAATGACGAGCACGCCTTCCCTGTCGTCGTCGACCGCGCTGCTCGCGAGCAGCAGCTGGCGCAGGTTTGCAGCGCGCGCCTCAATCTCATCGAGCATGTGGACGAGCTGCGCGACCTCCTCCTTTGGTGTTGTCGCTGCTCTGCGCGCGAGAATCTGCCTGACGGCCTCAGTGACGGCGTCGTCGCTAGGTCCAAACCGCTGCAGGCGCTTGACCTTGTGCTGGCTCGCCGGCCGGTTCCAGTACGTGTACACGTTGCTGAGCAGCAGCAGGCCAATGACGCCGACCATGAGGGACGTCTTGGAGAAGCGGCTCTCTTCAATCATGTCCGTGACGAGCTTGGCGCCGGTGCCGATGCCGGACGCGATCATGCTGAACCCGCTCGTGATCGAGTCGAGGCACCCCTGCAGCAGCCAGTACTCGTCCTCGGGCTTCTTGCCGCGCCGCCCGGCCGCCTCGGCATACGCCTGCGCCTTGGTCGGGCCAGAGGGTTCGGCCTCGGACGGCGCAGCCTCGGACGCCTCCGAGTCGGGCTCGGCGCCGGCCACGGCAAACTCGGACTGGTGCTCCTTCATGTACGCGCGCATCTCGCGCGCGAGGTCTTCGTGGTACTGCTTCTGTCCATCGACCGCGGACTTTTCAACGATGCCTGGGTGTCAGCTAGCCTCAATCTCGCACGACCTGGGTACCCAGACGAAGCGGCGCTCGCTTCGCTCGCGCTGCTCACTCACCCTTGACCCACGACTTGCCGGTCCACTCGACTTCCGTCGTGACCAGCACACGCGTGGAGCTCGCGCTCGCCCACGTAAAGCACGTCTTTGTCTTGACGCTGAACACGCCACCAGAGGGGACATCGGGCGTGCGTGTCGTCGTGACCATGGTGATGTAGCTGTCAAAGTCGCAGTGCTCGTGTACGTCGACAATGTGGCATTTGGTCTGCTTCGGCCCAATCGACCCGTACAGCGGCTTGATGTACGATGTCGTGCGCATGAGCTTCTTGTCGTCTCCGGGGTGCCACTCGGAAGACTCGATGTCTAACCGTCAGTCATCGCCTGAAATCTAGCTCACCTCGCAGCTTTTGCGACTCGGACATGAAGGTGCGGTACCACCCGCTGTTGAACATGAGGTTGTACACCTTTTCAGGCGTTGAGGGGAAGGTCGTGTCGAGCGCGACTTCGGCATAGTGGCCGCCCGTCTTGGAGCAGTCGCACTGCGTCGACTTGTGCGGGAGGCCCTTGGCCTTGGCCGCGCTGTCGTCGACGGCAGAGTCGTCCGGGGACGCCGCGTCGTCGGCGCCGTTGGGAGCCGTCGAGCTCGTCATCTCCATGTCCGGGTGCGCGATGCGCCAAATGTTCATGAGCACGTCGAATGTCGAATCGCGCGAAATCAGAGACGCAAACGTGTACCGTTCCTTGGACGTGTACACGCCGATCGCGTTCGGGATGACAAGCGCCGTCATCTTCTTCTCAATCTCTTGCACATCGGCGAACGGGATGACAACCTGGGGTGAGCGAGACAAGCAGCACCACTCACATCAGTGACCCAACCGAACAAGTTTGAGTGGAAGCAGATGTGGTTCTCGGACACGTAGAGACGGCCGTGGACGAGAATGTCTTTTGCGAGCGCGCAACCATAGTCTGTTGTCAGTGATGAACGACGAAATGTCTCACCCTCGATGAGGTAGTCACCCTCGTCGACTGTAGGGAAGAGGGAGTGGAACTCGGCGTTGCGGCGGTTGCTCGCGACGGCGAAACCGGTTACGGGGAGGTTGTCGAGTGCTTCGTCGTCGGTGAGGACGTCGCTCTCGTCTTCTGAGCCGTACCCCTCGTCGCTCTCATAGTCTTGGCGAACCAAATACGGCGAGCGACCCGCCGACGACACTGCGCGGTTGGCGGCAGACGCCTTGAGGATCTGCTCGTCGCCCGTGATCTGTAGGCCAGACTTGGCCAGTGCCGCCGCGATACCGTTAGTACTCGCGGAGGCGGGGAGGACGGGCGGCGTGCGGCTCATGTTGGAGGCTCCGGTGCCGGCGGTAGACGTGGTGGAAGGACGGCGTCGCCGCCGCCGCTTACCTTCCCCATGCCCATGGGGAGACTGCAGGCGCTCAGCCACGCGCTGCACGATCGAGTCGCGGTGCGCGTGCCGCCCTGCGCGCTGCTGCTGCGCGGCCACCTGCGCGGCCGCCCCCAGGCCTACTACGGGCGCGGTTCCGGGTGCGCCTTCCGGTGGAGGCGACGCTGGCGCCTGGGCGTGTGTGTCGTCGTCGGCCGCCATTGTCTCAACCGGCGGTTGCTTCTTGTCTGTGTTCGGGTCTGTGGGTGTGGGTGGAACCGCGATGGGCGGGCTGGCGATCGTGCCGCTGTCTCTTTGGGAGCGCGAGCGCGAAACGATGCGCAAGGGCGATAATCGGGAATTGGCTTTGGGAGCGGCCGACAGGCGAGAGGAGCTCTTGTCAACGCTGAGGGTGGAAGGAGTGGATAGGGCGCTGAGGTTGTCTGACGAGTCGGCGACGGATACGGAAGGAGCGGCGAGAGTCGATGGCGATGTGTCGTCCGAGTCTGAGACTGGTGGTAGGCGGGAGGAACGTCGAAAGACCGACATTCTGCTACGTGTGTGTGTGTGTAAGGTAGGGTCAGAATGTTGGTGGGTCGTGCCGATGACGCCAGTGCGCGTGGCCGGTGGCCGATGGGTGGAGCCGAGTGAATAGACGGCCGTTGACTGTCAGGCTGATGCCTTTCGAACGATGACCAGGAACGACAGAACAGTGAAGGGTGAACGCGTCGTGTCACGACGAGGATGCAAACAAAGCCACCGTCGTACGGCACATTCCGGCTCAAGCGGGCAGACAGTCCGATCACTCTTATCGTGCATTGCGTACAAAATGTCCGGGGCATTGTGACTCCCACCGTCAACGGGAGTGACCTCCCTATTGCGCGAGCCAAAGTAGCTCCCGGTTGCTCTGAGAGCACCACTGCGAATCAACGCTCCACGAGTGTCAACACTGCTGGTAGAAGGCCCCAGCAGAGGTTCGTGGACGGGCTCCGTGTATAGAAAATTGGGAGAAACAAAGGTCAGAGGGAAGGGCACTTTTGTACGACACAACTGGATCACGTGACATGCATGCGTGTTATTTTATCCTCCCATCTAATATGTTTATGATCTACTCCTTCGTGGCGAGCGAGTGGCCGGTCATCTCTGGAAATCGTCAGCATTGCGACAACACTCATACTCACCCTTGGGCTGGGGGAGTCCCATGATGGAGAGGATCGTGGGGGCGACGTCGGCGAGGGCGCCGTGCGTGTCCTTGACCTCGATGGTGCCCTTGTCGCCGGTGACAATGAAGGGAACGGGGTCTGTGGTCAGCAACGTTGCAAAAGAGCGACTTACTAGTGGTGTGGGCAGTGTGGGGCTGGCCAGTCTTCAGGTCGATCATCTGCTCGGCGTTTCCGTGGTCGGCGGTGATGCAGAGAACGTAGCCCTTCTCCTCGCACGCGTCGTAGATGGTCTTGACGGCGGCGTCGGTGGCAGTGATGGCCTTGACGGCGGCGTCGTAGACACCCGTGTGGCCAACCATGTCGGGGGGAGCAAAGTTGCACATGACAAAGTCAAACTTGTCCTCCTTGATGAGTTCGGCAACCTTGTCGGCGACACCCTGGGCGGACATCTCGGGCTGCTTGTCGTAGGTGGCGACCTTGGGCGAGGGGATCATGAAGCGCTCCTCGCCGGCGTACTGCTTCTCGACACCACCGTTGAAGAAGAAGGTGACGTGGGCGTACTTTTCAGTCTCGGCAACGTGCGCCTGCGAGACACCCTCCTTGGCGAGCCACTCGGCGAGGACGTTGTCCATCGAGACGGGAGGGAAGGCGACGGGGAGGGTCCACTCGGGGTTGTAGCGCGACATGGTGGTGATGTAGAGTCCGTTGGGAATGTCGACCTCGATGGGGAGGTCGTCGGGGAAGGCGAAGAGCGAGACGATCTCGCGCATGCGGTCGGAGCGGTAGTTGAAGGTGAAGATGGTGTCGTTGTCCTTGACGCGGGTCGAGTCGTCGCCAAAGATGAGAGGCTTGATGAACTCGTCGGTCTCGTCCTTGGCGTAGCAGTCCTCGATGGCCTTGACGGGGTCGTCGGCCTTGGTGCCGTCGCCCTTGACGAGGGCGTCGACGGCGACCTTGACACGGTCCCAGCGCTTGTCACGGTCCATGGCGTAGTAGCGGCCGACAAAGGTGACGAGCTCGCCGCAGCCAATCTCCTTGATGGCATCCTGGAGCTGCTTGACGTACTTGGTCGCCGACTTGGGCGCAGTGTCGCGTCCATCACCAAAGGCGTGGATGTAGACGTGGGGGACACCCTGCTCCTTGGCAGCACGGATAAGCGCGATAAGGTGGTTGATGTGCGAGTGAACACCGCCATCGGACAGCAGACCCATGAGGTGGAGACGGCCGTTAGTGTCCTTGGCGTGCTTCAGGCAGTCGACGATGGCGGGCTGGTTCTTGAAGTCGTCATTCTTGATGGCTGTGTGTCAGCTTCATCGTGACCGCATAGACGTACACTGGTCAATGCGGACAATGTCCTGCCAGACGATACGACCGGCTCCGATGTTCAGGTGTCTGTGGTCAGCTAGGATTTCACCGGCTGTGCTCACCCGACCTCCGAGTTGCCCATGAGACCTTCCTTGAGACCGACAGCGAGGCCGGAAGCGTCAAGCTTGGCAAAGTTGTGCTTGTCACGGATGTGGTCCATGTTGGTGGTGGTGCCGTGGTAGATGGCGTTGCCCTTCTCCTCGTCGGAAAGTCCCCATCCGTCGTGGACGCTGTTCGTCAGACACTGCGCGCGCAGCACAACTTACATCAGGCAGACCTTCTCTGCGAGCGTCAGCATGGTCTGGGGGGTACGGAGCGCACTTACTCTTAACAGAGGTCTTCTGCTTCTTCGAGTCGTGCTCGGGGCTTCCGGCGGTACGGGCAGACATTTTGACGGCGTTGTTTTCCTCTCAACAAGAAAGAGAAGGTTGAAGGAAGATAAAATGGAGCAGTGACTTAAACGTCGAACGTCACAGGTCGCTATCGGACCGGATGGGAGCCGAGGGCCGAGCGGGGTTCCATGTGCGATGATGCCGCCGGGTGAATGGGGATTGGGGATTTGTTTGAGCCACCCATTTAATTGAAATGCGGTGGACTTTGATATCGCGCGTGAAACCCTAACGGACCGCCCTGGCGCGACACCCTGAGTAAACAGGCTCCGCCTGGTTGCCTGGCCGCCTGGTCTGGCGGTGGGACTGGACCCGTACGGTGGGTCTGACCTCTACGTCTCGCATCGCTTCACATTGGTACAGGGAAAACGACCCTAGCTCACGATCACCCTCCTCCCTCGCTCGTCACGTCCATCTTTGCACCTTCCTCTTCTCCATCCCAACTTGGGTCTTCCTTCTCAACTTCGCGCGCTGGTTGCTCGTTCGTCCTCGCGGCCGTCATCATACCCAACATCTGGCAGTGCTGTGCATAGCCTCGCAACGACCGCCCCCGTGAGACGCTCCGCAACCGTTCCCACCCACGTTCCTCGCCTTCCCTTCCTTCCTCGCCATGACCACGACCGCTCCGTCTTCGGCCACGACGGCCGCTCCCTTCAAGTTTGGATCCTTCGATTGGGTCTGTGAAAGAGCCCAACTTACTGTATGCCCGCTGCTCGGCAGCTCGACCGGCATTGCCCCTACGTGCTATGCCCGAAATGTCCAGCTCGGAACCCAGATCGTCTTCCAGCCTGGTGCGTTGCCCATGCCGTTCCGTGCTGACCCGCAGCCACATGTATAGTGCACATTGCGGCGCTGGCGATGACTCTGATTATGCTCTTCCACGTCCGATCTAAATACACGGCCGTGGGCCGCAAGGAGATCGTCCTATTCTTCTACATTTACATGTTTGTCGAACTCCTCGGCGCCTTCCTTGACTCCTCCGTCATCCCGACCTCGAACGTTGTATACCCCTGGTTCACGGCTATTTACGCGGGCGCTATCGGCGCTCTGTACTGGTGCCTGCTCGTCAACGGTTTCGTTGGCTTCCAGCTCTACGAGGACGGAACTCCCATGAGCCTTTGGGTGAGTTTGCGGCTCTGAAAGTCTGCTAACGCTCAGTTCCTGCGCCTCTCCTGTCTTCTTGTCGGCGGTATCTGCTTCATCGTCGCCGCGGGCACCTTCCAGGGATGGGGAACGCTCAACTACCAGAACACGATGGGACTCTTCATCACCTACCTCGTGTACCCCCTCATCGTCGTCGTCATCTACATTGTATCCCAGTTTATCCTGGTTATCCGCACCCTCGACGACCGATGGGTCATCGGCGACCTCCTGTTCGGCATCGGCTTCTACGTCGTAGGCTGCATCCTGCTCCTCGCCTTCAGCACAACCATCTGCGACGCCATCTCCCACTACCTCGACGGTGTCTTCTTCTTCACTCTTTGCATGCTGTTCACCGTCATGATGGTTTACAAGTACTGGGACTGTGAGTTCATACTGTCGGGTTTTGCTAACTCTAGCGATCACGAAGGAGGATCTCGAGTTCTCGGTCGGCTCCAAGGTTGCGGTCTGGGAGGTCAAGGACCCCCTCCTCTCCGGCGTAAGTACACAGCTTTATTCGTATGCTGACTTTAGCCCAACACCGACTACATCGAGGACGACTCCCAGTCGGCGTACCGCGGCGCCGGCGGCTCGCTCGTCGGCGGCTACGGTGGCAACGCCTACTACCAGGGCGGCTACTCCAAGTCTTCCTCCTCTTACGACCAGTTTAACGGCCAGGAGTACAACTCACATTACTAGGCTCTTTGTAACGGACAATGCATTCTGTACATTCACGCATTCTTGCGGTGGCAACTTGTTGAAGTGGCATGTCTGATGGCTGATCACGGAACCAAATTCCAGACGCGTCCATACATGAGGGACGCGACGCGTGATTGACTTTCCTAACACTACTTCATGGCCATGACGGTGCAGCGGCGAACGCGGAAACCGGCAAGCTACACCGACCTGACGGTAGACTCGGACGAGGAGGTCATGCCCCTCACGACAAGCAAGTTGCAAAACAAGCGCAAGAGGGTGAGTTGTAACACATGGCTTTGCTGACTTACAGGAGGTGGAATCGCCCAGTGAGGAGAGCGATGTGCCCGACCTGGAGGAGGAGGAATATGAGGTCGAATACATTGTCAAGTCCCGTCTCAAGCAGTACGGCAAAAAGGTGGTCCTCGAGTACTTTATCCACTGGAAGAACTACCCAGAGGAGGAGCGTACATGGACCTTAGCGGACCAGTTTGACGACGATGACCCGCCGGTCGTCGCGTTCTACGAGAAGAACCCGCGAGCGCCCCGACGAGGACAAGATACGCCTTTCTCGCTTCTCATGGGCAAAAAAGCGGCAACACAGACTCCGGTGAAGAAGGCCCCTAAGCCCGCTGCAAAAGCTACAAAGCCGGCCAAGGCGCCCGCGCCGGGCAAGGAGAACCGCGCAATCAAGAAGCCGCGTGTGGATGAGAGCGACGAGGACGAGTTTGTTCCTCCAGAGGACGACGATGTAAAGGACGACGACGATGATGACTACGACGACGCTGTCGCTTCCGAATCTGACGGCCCTGCGGACGACTTTGACGAGGAAGACGAGGACTCTGAGCCCTCCAAGCCGGCCAAGGTCGCCAAGAAGACGCATGGCAGCTGGGGTGTTGCGAACAAGGGTCAGAAGAAGGCGGCCGTCAAGCTGTCAGTAGACGTTCTGTGCCAGGCTGACCCCAGTGGCTCGTTCAGGCCCAAGATCAAACCGCTCAACATCAAAGAGTCGACCGGTGCCGCTCACAGCGCCAACGAAGCCCTTCCGCCGATTCACGATATCCCGGCGATGTTTGATCACATGGTGTCCCGCGTGCCGACGATCGTCGACGTCGTCAAGCGGCTTAACGGGCGCAAACTCCGCGTCGCCACCATGTGCTCGGGCACAGAGTCCCCCCTGCTCGCCCTCAACATGATTGCCAAGTCGATGGAGGAGCAGTACGATGTCAAGCTCAACGTGGAGCACGTCTTCTCCTGCGAGATCGAGCCCTTCAAGCAGGCCTACATCGAGCGCAACTTCCGGCCGCCGATCCTCTTCCGTGACGTGACCGAGCTGGGGCGCAAAAAGGCACACACCGCCTACGGCTCCCTCGTCGATGTTCCCGGCAATGTCGACCTCTTGATTGCGGGAACATCGTGTGTCGACTACTCCGGACTGAACAATGTCAAGCAGGACATTGACGCGAACGGCGAATCGGGACGGACGTTCCGCGGCATGTTGCAGTGGGTCAACAAGCACAGGCCGCCCGTCGTTCTCCTCGAAAACGTCTGCAGTGCGCCGTGGGACAAGGTCGTGCAGTACTTTGGCGAGATCAACTATGACGCAAACTATGTTCGACTGGACACAAAGGAGTTCTACATTCCGCACACTCGAACCCGTGTTTATCTCTACGCGACGCCGATGGAAGGGAAGAAGGCAGAGCACCTGCCGGAAAAGTGGATGGAAACTGTCAAGGCGCTCCGTCGACCTTGGTCTTCGTCCTTCGAGGCATTCTTGCTGCCGGCAGACCACCCCGACATTCACCGTGCTCGTCTCGACCTCGCCGCTGCAAAGTACTACAACGATGGCTCGCAGCGGAAACCGACCGACTGGGGACGCTGCGAGTCGCGTCATGCCCGTGCGCGCCAGGAAGAGGAGCTTGGCAATCTGCGTCCGCTCACGGCATGGAAGGAGGCAGGTGTCTGCAAGGGCCTCGACTGGACGTGGAACGACTGGCTCCAGGCGCAGACAGAGCGTGTCGTCGACCTTCTCGAAATCTCCACGCTCCGCATGGCCAAGGAGGGCATCGACTCGGGCTTCAAGGCGTGCATCTGGAACGTCTCCCAGAATGTTGACAGACAGACGGGTTCATCGCGTACCGCCCTGGCGCAGTGTCTGACGCCCAACATGATCCCGTGGGTCACAAACCGAGGTGGACCCGTCATCGGTCGCGAGGCACTCTCTCTGCAAGGCATTCCCGTTCGCGAGCTTCTTCTTACGAGCGAAAATGAAGACCAGCTTGCCGACCTCGCAGGCAATGCGATGACCTCGACGGTCGTCGGCGCCTCGATTGTTGCCGCTCTTCAGCTGACTGTTGACAAGCTTGAGGAGGGTGAGGACGCGATGAAGGCGGCTGCCGAGCAGGAGGCAGAGGAGGCAGAGAACAAGCCCGCGACCATTGTCGGAAGCGGCTCTCTGACGCCTCAGCGCCTTGATCTCGCCAAGGTCGACTCGGCTCCACTCCAAGAGGTTCTTCGTGCAGCGCAGCAGAGCTCGCGTCACTGCGAGTGCGAAGGACAGTCTGGAACCGCTTCCGCTCCGATCGACGAGTGCACGCTCTGCGGTTACCGCTCCTGCACTTCATGCGGAGGTCGCCCCGAGCACGCCTACCAGCGGTGCCACACTCAGCGCCTCGAGCCGACGCAATTTGAGCGCCTGTTCAAGTCTCTTCTGCCCATGCGCGTCAAGGTCGCTGGTCTCACGCCCGCCTCTCTCGACATTGTGCGTCGGAGGGCTAGCCAGGAGGGCAAGGGCTCCATTCCGGATGCGACGTGGAGCATGTGGCGTGACGCTGTTGTCGAGGGTGTCAAGGATACCGAGCTGCGCTTCCGTATCCTGAAGCGTCAGAGCACATGGACGGCCGTGTACGAGGGCCAGACGGCCATTCTCGAACTGTGGCTGAAATCGACTCCGGAGTGGCGTCTCACGATCAAGACTCCTGTCGATGAGCCAGTGAACAGCCCGCTGCGCAAGCTGCTCCTCCGTCCCGTCGCTCGCATGCGACTCGACCCCGACAGCGACAATGTCCTCAGCGGTGACTGGGAGGTGTGCGTCCCGTCTGAGCAAGAGTTCCGCATCGAGGTCACCGGGTGCGGCGACAAGGTTCCGACTTGGCAGGCGTCGCTCGGTCTCCAGGGCAAGTTCGTCGGCAACGAGCGCTGGTCCAAGGTCAACGTTCACGTCCCTCCCGAGGCAGAGCGTGCTCTCGACAGGGACGTGTCGGGCATCTACACTCTGCTGCCCAGGTGCGGCCAGAACCAGGCCTCGCTTCACAAGCAGGAGGGTGACAGCGACGAGCCGCTCTTCTTCTATTTGAACGCGGACCGTGTTGGCAACTCGTCCGACGACCAATACGTCTTTTCCACTTCCATCGAGCGCGTCGACTATGGCACCGAGCGCGACATCGTTGCCTCCCTGGACAGAAAGTGGCGCGAGTCCACTCGGACGTCTGAAACTCCCAAGCTCCACGTCACCGGCGGCTGGGTCGTGGCCACCGAGGCCAAGCTGACTGCCGTCCAAGGCACTAACATTGCCGTCGACGATGTCACTGCCCACGCGGACGAGGCAACGTTTGCCATCCCGAGCTCGTCGGAAGTCATTTCGAACGCCACCTCTGACTGCGACCAGAGTGTGGCGATTCTGTCGGTCACCGTGCCGCTCGACGCCAAGCATGCCGAGAGCATGTGGACGAAGGGAACCTGGGGCCAGGTCGACCTCGACAGGGAGGGTAACACGACGTTTGCAAACCTCGCCTGGATCACGGAGCGTTTGCCGCCCCTCGACAGCTTCTCCAGTTGGAGCGTTCTGAATGACTCCAAGTCGACGTGCCTCAAGTGTGCGCCGCGCCCTCCCACGATCCACTGGATCAAGCAATCTGGCAAGTTTGACAAGGCAGGTCGCAAGACGACCAAGACGATGAGCACGGTTATCGCTTTCGAGGACCGCAAGGAGGCTGGTGTCTACGAATACGTGAGTGATATGGCCCTGTGCTTGCTGACTTTAGCGCCTGAAGCACAGGCCGCAGCCGTTCTCTGTGCAGTTGCGTCTCGACGACGGTACGGGCTCCTTCCGCATAGGCCTCAACCCCTCGTCCCTTGCCCACCGAGCGATGGCGCGTCTGCCCCATGCTGGACGCGACGATGTGGTACTCTCGTGGCGCCTCGTGACGTCGCTTGTGGCGGAGGAGCCCCAGCCGCCGCGCGTGTTCCTCCTCCCGAGCAACAAGCGCGACCCCCAGCACCCTCAACCGGAGGGCTTCTTGCTGCCCCTCCGTAAGGAGCAGCTGAGGTCGCTCTGGTGGATGCTGCAGCAGGAGAAGGCTCCAGGCAAGACGCACACGTTCGTCGAGGAGGAAATCTCCGAGGCCGCTCTCCCCGCCCTTGGCTGGCGCGCGGAGGGCAAGGCCGAGCGCCCCGTCATGGTTCGTGGTGGTGTCATCGCCGACCAGGTGGGCTACGGCAAGACGATCATTTCCCTCGCCCTCGTCGCCGAGACGCGTAACGAGATTGACGGCGACACGCCCGAGCCGCCCGGACTGATCGATGTCCGAGCCACTCTGATCATCGTCCCTGGTCACCTCAGCAAGCAGTGGCCAAGCGAGATTGAGCGCTTCACTGGCAAAATGTTCCGCACGGTCGTCATCCAGACCATGAAGGACCTCGCAAACGTCAGCATCGCCGACATTTCAAAGGCGGACATTGTCATCATGGCGGCCGAAGTGTTCGACTCGGACGTCTACTGGGAGCGATTCGAGTATCTCGGAGCGCAGCCCGAAGGCTGGCTGAATGACAAGCAGGGTGGCCGTTTCTTCGGGGAACGCCTCGACACGGCCCTCGAGACGCTGCGCCAGGAGACCGAGGCGCTCAAGGACGGGGCCGACAATGCCGTCGCTCTCATGAAGGACCTTCACCAAAAGTCCAAGCAGGACGCCCAGAACAAGCGCGACGAGCTGCGTGCTTCCAACTTTGGCAAGCGTCTGAAGGGTGCCGCGTACCGCGACAAGTATGACGCTACCCAGCCCCAAAAGACGAAGAAAAAGTCGGCCTCTGGTAGCCGCTGGGAGGTCGACGACGATGACGAGGAGGATGACGGCTCTGAAGACATGGCCATCCCCGCCCCGTCGTTCCGCGACGCCAAGGGCACCGAGTCGTACAGCAGCGCCAACGTCCGCAAGAACCACAAGCTGCTCTCTTGCCCCCTTCTGCACATGTTTAGGTGAGTTGACACCTCCTCTGTTAGCTGACGCCAGGTTCCGCCGAGTCATCGCGGACGAGTTCACGTATCTCGAGAAGCGCCCACTCGCCGCCGTCCTCCGTCTATCCTCGTGTTACAAATGGGTGCTTTCCGGCACACCTCCGGTCGATGACTTTGCGTCTATCCGCACGATCGCCACGTTCATGGGCATTCACCTCGGTGTCGAGGACGACGCTGAGGGCAGTGCCCAGGCCAAGAAGGCAAGAATGAAGGAGCAGACGGCCGCCGAGCGCTTCCACGCGTTCCGCGAGACGCACTCTGCTGCCTGGCACCGTCGTCGTGACGATCTCGCGCAAGAGTTCCTCAACACCTTTGTCCGTCAAAACATTGCCGAGATTGACGACATTCCGACGACCGAGCACATTCACTCGATCCGTCTCCCCGCGTCCGAGGGCGCCGTCTACTTGGAGCTCGAGCACCACCTGCAGGCGCTGGAGATGCAGGCGTAAGTCGCTGTTTGTAAGACAAACTGACATATCAGGCGCAAGGAGACCAAGTTCAAGAACGTCACAGTCGGTGACCGCAACGCTCGTCTCGAGGAGGCCCTCGCCGACTCCAAGACCGCCGAGGAGGCTCTACTCAAGCGGTGCTGCCACTTCACTCTCGACCTGACGAACCGCAAGTTTGACGCCAAGACGGCACAGGAGGCGTGTGAGCACATTGCTTCTGCGCGCCGTGCCCAGCTCCTGGCGTGCGAGGAAGACCTGCGGCGCACGATCAACAACGCTGTCGCTTTACACGCCTACGTCAAGAAGAAGAACGGCTTCAACTCGGACGAGCGCCAACCCTTCAAAGAGTGGGCAAAGCTGTCGTTTGACGTCTCCAAGCACGACGGCGACGTCGAGGCTGCCGAGCGTCTCATTGCCGTGCTCGAGAGCTGCGGCTTTGAAAAGGGCGCAATCCCCGGTGTGCCCGCCGACAGCAAGGCGTCCAAGGTCTCTGGCAAGCCCGAGGACGTCAAGTGGGAGCTCCGCGAGCAAACCCACCTCCTCCGCCGTCTCGCCAAGGAGCTCGTCGGCCGTGTGCGCTCGCTGCGCTTCTTCGAAGTCGTCCGCAACCTGCAGCTTCGCGGCGACGAGGCTACCGCCGTCCTCGAGGGCAGCGAGTGTGGCCACACTCGCTCCGACGACAAGATGGCCATCCTCAGTTGCTGTGGTCACGTCGCCTGTCTCCAGTGCATGACGGAAGCTGTCAACAACCAAAAGTGTGTCAAGCCCGACTCGTGCCACGCCCCTGTGCGCCACACCAACATTGTCAAGGTTTCCACGCTCGGTGTCGAGGGCGAGCTTTCTTCTGGCCGTTATGGCGCCAAACTGCAGCGCCTCGTCGACCTCATCCGCTCGATCCCCAAGAAGGAGCGCATCCTCGTATTCCTGCAGTGGGACGACCTCATGGCCAAGGTATCCGAGGCGCTCGACGCCGGTGGCATCGGGCACGTCACCCTGGCTGGCGGCGTCAAGGCCAAGGCCAACACGCTCGACGCCTTCCAAAAGGGCAACAGCGCGCGTGTCCTCGTGCTCAAGATGAACGATGCGTCCGCCGCCGGCTCCAACCTGACCATGGCAAACCACGCCATTTTCATCGGTCCCCTTTTCACCCCAACGCTGCTCAACTACCGCTCGACCGAGACGCAGGCGATCGGCCGTGTCCGCCGCTTCGGACAGGAGAAAAAGGTCCACATCCACCGTCTCCTTGTCCAGGACACGATCGACTATACCATTTTCAACGCGCGCACCAAGGAGCTTTCCGAAAAAGCCGACTATGTCGCGCTGCCCCGCGGCGAGTATGTCCCGGGAGCCGGACGCAAGTCGCGCATCACCGAAGACGTGATTGAAATTGAGGACGAGCTGTAAGGAAGAGCCTCGAGATACCCAGAGCTGTAGCGTAGTCAGTCGTAATAAATAGGTCAATGTAATTCTTGTGTTGCTACCGTGAGCGAGCGCCAGTGAAGCGCTGCATTAATCACATATATCTAAGGTATTCCCGTTTAGTTGCTGCCCTTCTGAGCCTTGTCGGTCTCGAGCGTGGCGACCATCTGGTCGAGCGTGTCCTTGGCAACGTTCTCGTGGTCCTTCTCGGTCGGCACGCGCGTAATGTTCGGGAGGTCACCATAGCCAACAACGGGCTTCTGCTTGGGGGCCTCGACCTCGGGGAACTCGGCAGCGTCGGCGGAGAGCTCTGAAGTCATTAGTTATGTGTGTTGCGAACGTGAGGCCCCTCCCGGGCTCATTGCCAACATCCCCATCTCTTCCACCCCTGTCTTACTCACCGTCAAGCTGCTGGGAGGTGAGGTGGTGGTGAGGCGGCCTCTGCTGGCCCTGGGCGCCAGTGTTAGTGTTGGTGTTGGAGTTGGCCGACATGGTTCAGTTAATGACGTGCGGGGCAGAAAAGCACCCCAGACAGTTTATATACCGCCTGCACCTGGGGTTGATCTCTGACGTTCTACGTATTCCACCACCGAGCCCAGCCAAGCGCACCTCGATGCAAGCGAAGGGGAGCGAGCCCAAGAGGGGGGAAACAATCACGCGGAGCAAAAGGCTAGCTCGAGCAAAGGCACGCAACACCCTTGGACAGTGACGTCAATCCCATTTCGATGGTTGGTCCAGCGTTGGGCCTCGTGCCAGATTTATCACGCGTCGACCGAGATCGATCACCGAGGTCCGCTTCGTATCCCCCTGTGCCTCTGTGCCTCCAGGCGAGCTGGCCTGGCAACGGCCGCTCGGGCGAAACAGACGTTGAAGCAGTCAGGTCCAGATACTCCGATACGAGCTCCAGTTGGCTTGCTCAGGTGATCGACACGATTGCTGACCGCGCCGCTGATTCTATTTGACGCTGCGATCGCCGACGCGCCGATGAGCCTGCTTTCACCATCGCGGGCCGGCGCGGCCGTCTGATAGTTGACTGACAGGCAGACCTTTGCACGGCGGATCCGGAATCGGACTGTCTGCTCCGCATCCCTTGATGTCACGCACGTGCTGGAATTGTTTGGTTCCTCAACTGGTGCATCTGGCAAGCAGCATAGAGAATTGTTTGCAAGGATTGAGCACCGCTGCACGCCGCATCGATTCGGCGTGCACCGCCTGGAGGTCCGAGCATCGCCAAGAACTGATCTGCAAGGGCTCCGGAGCCGAATTCAGCGGCCCTCTGATAATGCCTGAGATTCATCGTTCTTCCTTCTTGCCATCCACACCTCGCACACTCCTATCGACACAACGATGTCCGGCTGGGCCGAGTTCTACCGCAACAAGACACTAGCCTACGGTGCGCACGCGGCAAAGCCGTCAGACTGGAAGTGCAACCCCGCGCCGCCGCCGTCCCTCCGCGCCGACCTGCGTTATCAAGCAACCTACACGGATGAGCAGTACGCAGTGCTTGCGCACGGCTTCGTGCCGCAGGACATGGACGAGCGGTGGTTTGTCGTCCTCGACAACGGATGGCTCAACCTCTACCGCTCCTGGAGCGGATCCCACATTTACGGCCTCCACCTCGCCCGCGCTGACGGTGGAGGGTGGACTGTCGACGAGTCCTGGGTCACGCGTAATCCGGAGGAGTACAGACCAGTCGCACACGGGGACGACGGCATGGACTTTGAACGCGACACGGTTACGTCCATCCTGAAGAACTATTGCTTCAAGCAGCACGAGGAGTGGCTCAAGGTCAAGGCGGAGGAGGAGCAGAAGGCGAAGCAGGTGAAGAAGTCAACGTAGAAGGGAGCAAGAGCATCGGATTGCTCCGCTGGTTGTACGGTCGGTCCGGTGGTCCGCTTGTAACGATTTTCATGTTTCATGTGTCCTCTGACTTTGGAACGGCGGCATCGGTACCAAACACCAGCTAGTCCGCTGCGCTGGGCGTGCAGAGCGGGCAGGCGCTGTGCGTAGCACGCGTAGCATGGGCATAGTGCGCCGGCAAAGCTGCGTACGCAGCACGTACGCACCCCGGCGTGACTCGACTGGACCGTGAACAGGCCTTATGGCGGGAAGGGTGGAGACTCAACCGGTGGGCAGTCGAGACCAGAGGGGCGGCAGCGGCAACGTTTCGGCTCGCCGCAAGGTTCACCGCTATAAGTGCATGCATGTAAACAAAGTCGGAAACGCGAATCTGCATCGTGCTGCATCGTCTTGAGTCTGCTCACTGTCAGCAGCCAACAGCAATCGACCGTCAACCGTCCTCGCTGCACGCCACAGAACGAATCCCAGACACACGGCATGCTCCCTCCGTCGGTGGTTACGACCTCGCCGCCGCTGCCCCCGGTGCCGACACCCCTGTCCCCGACGAGCCGCTCCTCTCGCTCTCCGATCCCCACACTTGCGCCGGCTCCTGTCCCCGCACCGCCACTGCTCGAGCTCTTCGAGGGTGACGATGGATACCCCGTCGCTGAGTTCGTCAACATGGCCGAGTACATGATGTCCGCGCACGCCGAGTACTACACGACGGCAGCGCGGCGCATAGCCTACGTCTCGAACAACTTTTCTGGGCGCGCACGCCTCTGGTTCACGTACATTCTCGGCAAGAGCCCTCGGCCACACTGCCTCCGCTCCTGGGAAGAGTTCCGCGTCGCGCTCCTCCAGTACTTTGGCGACGTCGACCCCGTCCCGCACACTGTGCTCCTCAAGCTGACGCAGGAGGACCACGAGACGGTGTGGTACGCAAAGGAGTTTCGCGAAAAGGCGGCTGTATGCCGCGTCGACGTCAACCATGAGTACTACCGGCGCTGGTTTGTGCTTGGCCTCCAGCCTGCTATCCGCGATCGCACGCTGCGCGCGTTCTACCACCTCGGCACGTTCCAGGACGTCGTGCGACACGCGCGGGAGATTGAGGTCGCCCTCCTCGGTTTGCAAAACTCGCATCCCTCGCACGCTTCCTCTCATTAGGCTCTTCTAACATATACACTATAGACTTATTCTGCAATCACGTTGTACTACTTTTTACTCCTTGCTCTGGACGTGGAAGATGGCGTGGGCGACCTCGTACGTCGGCGCCGAAATGGTGTCGTCGCCGTCCGCCTTCCAGTCGCGGTCGGCCGCGTAGCCAAACACGCCGCCCTTCTTGCCTCCCTCGGGCTGCCACTCGGCATAAGCGAGCGCGCGAGACGTGTTGAGCGGGCGCTCCGTGTCGTGCCACCCGTTCGTGCCCTGCTCCTCGTAGAAGGAGAAGCCGGGGACGAAGCGACAGCTGTCGATGTATGGGGAGAAGGTGTCCCAGGTAGACTGGAGGCGGCCCACATCGCGTCCATAGGCCTGGAGGAAGACGAACGAAACCACATCCGCAATGAGGGGGAAGAAGCGGTCCGCGTCCTGGTTCGTGTCATAGATGAGCAGCGTGCCCTCCTTGCCCTTCGGCCCGAGATACTTGGAGAGCGCGTGGAAGATCTTGGAAAAGTGCTCAGCCTCCTCGCCGTCGATGCGCTCCTCAATGTCAAAGTCGAGCCCATCGAGGCCCCACGGCGTCACAAACTTGGCGATCAGGTCTTGCGCAATCTTGTCATAGTTGCCGTCCGCCGGAGCCTGGATCGCACGCAGACCCTCGGTGCCGATCGAACGCGCGAGGAGTGTGCCCTGCGCGTGCAGCTTGGGGACGTACTCGTCCCTCAGGACAGAGTAGTAGGGAGTGTCCTCCGCCCCCTCGGCCTCGAAGACGAGCGCAACGTCGGTGCCCTTGGGCAGCGAGTCCATTCGCGCCTCCTTGCCCTGGAAGCCAGTCGCGGCATCGTTCCACGTCCGCCAGTACGCGCCGTAGATCTCGGTGCCGCACGAGGACTGCGGTCCGACGGGGCCCGAGCTGTTGGAGCTGCCTCGAGGGGTCGGGGCACCGAGAGCGGGAGAGGCGAGCAGAGCAAGCGCGGGCAGGAGAGAAACGAGCATGTCGGGAAGAAGTTCTTGATGTCTGTGATCTCAATCTGTCCTCGATGTTAGCGCCTTATATATCCCTCCAGATCCTAGCCTGCCATCAGCTGCGCGGCTTGACGCCTGCGACTGCCTGCGATCGCCTGCGACCGCATGCTCTCCGCTAGAATACTGTTGAACTCACCCCCAAAACAATGTCCAATCGGGCTCAACGCCGAGTCCGTTTGCTCAGTCGACCCTCACCCTTCTCGGTGTAACCCGAGTTGGAGCATGGGTACAACATCAACATTTGCGACGTGTGTAAGTCGGGGGGTGGATGTCCCGAGTGGGCGCGCCGACATCGCATCGGCGCACATGCTGTGCTTCCCGCCCCGGATACTCGGGGGTTGCCCGGCCCGACCCCGAAAGCTTAAAGTTCAGCCTAGCTACTAATCAACTCCGTAATAGATTGGATGGGTTCGGTGTTCAACCTCGATCATTGGCATGTTCGCTGTGTTTTTTCAGTACTGGTCTCGTCGGAAGGAGGTCAGGACGTCAGAAGGTCAGGATGATCGAGCTAGGCCCAAAGCCTACTCCGAACCCGCAGCGCAGTCAGGCGATGCAGACGGGAGGCGGAGAGGATCGAGGGTGCTCGCGCTGCGCCGAGGTTGCCGATTCGTTTTCGGTTAGTAGCCCGAGAAGGCAGGGGGGAGCACATGGTGCACATCTGACAGGTGTGAGGGAACAGGCTGCCCCAGATGAAGAGATCGAAGGGGGAGCGTTTGTGGGCTGTCAGGTTTTCCATTTGTGAGGTTGGCGATAAGATTGCGGTGGGTTAAGGTCCAGGACAGTGGATCGTGCCTAGCACCGGTGCACCATCAGGCCAGCAACTAACTAGCCTGTTGAACGAGGGCCTGCGGCTTGCGATGCACACTGTCCCGACTCAAAATCGCGCAGACCGCATCGTCATGCAGACTGCCATGCATGCATACACGTGACTCCGAGTCGGAAAGAGACGATCAGCATGGCGGTGCCAGAGTGGACGTGATGCGGTGTGGAGGTGAGGCTGACCCGGCGGGGACACCGTGCGGAGCAGGGCTATTCCGTGCTCCAACCGAGCCAGCCGACGGTACGCGATGAAGCCGAGGCATCTCGAGATCATTGCATTCCTCGAATGATGTTCAATGACTCACACTCGCACGTCTCGCACATGGTCGCACACAAGCGTGCAGTGGTTGCAGAGGGGGGCCATGTGCTGTGGCTGTGGCGACGGAGCAGCGTTCGGAGCCGGGGCTTCTTGGCGCCAGACTGTCGGTGTACTGCGCGGCATGCTAGTTGTACATTTGGGCCAGATCGCCTCGGCTGCGGATGCGGAGCGTCTCCAGCCCACATGCATGAGCTCGCAAGTAGATATAAGACGAAGGAAGACGACACCTCAGCACATCTTCACCGCATCCGACGACTGCACTGCAACACATCCAAGCGCCGCCGGCCACCACTCCGTATCCGTCCTCCGCATCGTATCCGACACCCTCAATCGCAAGCTATATATCTCCAGCACACACAGCACCATGACCTCGAACGCTTACGACACCAAGCCTCCCCTCGAACGCGGCGTCCGTGACCTGTTCAAACCCCCGCTCGAACGCGAGTATCGTGACCTCATCTCCTCAGACAACATGACGCGGACCCTCAACTCTTCCCCTCCAGCTCCCCACGCGGCGTATGGCACCTCGTCGCCTCCAGCCCCCCACGCCCCGCATGCACCGTACGGCACCGGCGCATCCCTTCCTTCTCACTCCTCGCACGGCAGCGGTTCGTCCGAAGTCGAGTCGCTCGGCTCTGCACCCCCACCCTATCGCGACGACGGCAGCCTCGCCTTCCCCGAAAAGTCGTCCTTGGCTTCTCCAGCGGAACAAGAGGAGGAGCACGAGGGCGAAGTGATGCGGACGGAGAATCCCTGCGCCGCCATCGGGCACGACCTCTCCGTGAGCAAGTGCCAGCGCCGCGCGCGGGTTGCGACCTTCATCATGTGTCCTGAAGTTGCGGCTTGGCTCATGCTGAAGAAACGACCGTGCAAGCGCTGTGGGGAGAAGGTCAGGCCCAAGGATACAATCTTCCATCAGTAGTCTTCCGGACGCTCCTCGCCACCGCCAAGCAAGACCTAGACGACAACTATCTTTGTACATTAGTGAAGACAGTCCGATCCTGCAGTGTATATCAGAAGTGTAGATCCGTAGCAGAAATAAAGCAGAAACCCATGCCATGCATTGTGTGTGTAGTGTACAATATAATTGCGGATTGTCAAATGATTACTGATGCCACCACTCGGCGCTCGAGTGCGCCGAGTTCTCCCCCTTCACATCATGCGGATTCACGTCCATGTCGAGGAAGCTCTGTGTCCCAAACAGCGTCCTAGCCGCCGCGAGAATCTGTCCTGTCAGCTTGCTGCCGCTCCCTTCAGCTCACCTCGTCTATACAGTTGATCGCCTCAGTCAGCGCCTCATTCTCCGCCATGGCGTACAGCACGCCGAGCTCGGCGTGGTATGCTTGCTGGCCTGCCCCCGAATCCTCCCTGTCGTCCGTACTGTCCCGCATGCGGCGGTGCTTCTCGCGCGCACGCATCTGGCGTACTTCCCGCGCATAGTCGTCCGTTGTCTCCATCACTTCGCTGAGCGGGTTGCGCGGACTGGGGAAGACCTGCGGCAGAGGCGAACGGGAACGGAAGGCCTGGCCGCACGCCCAGAGGTTGACGAGGATGGAACTGACGAGCTCTCTCCGAATGGGGAGCACGTCGAGCACAGTCGCCTTCCTGGGCAGGGAGAAACGGAGCGTGCGGATCTCGCTGAACGTCTCGATCAGTCGCTCGAGGAGATCGACGATCTCGCCGTAGAGCCTTGTTGGACGGGGGAGGAGGCCGATCTCACGCTGCTGCACTGTCTGCAGCGTGCGGCAGCGTGCTATATTGGCCCTAGCCCGGCGCTCAAGGACACGGTACTGCTTGCTGTTCGCGTTGTAGACTGGCGTCGGGCGGAGCAGGTCGCGGCTCATGCGCAGGTAGTAGTCTGTGATGTTCTCCATCGTGTCGCCCACGGCCGAGAAGTACTGCACGCGCGCATGGATGGGCCAGAGCCACGAGCCAAGCAGGATCGCGGCCGCAATGCCGATGATGATGTCCACAAAGCGCATCCACGACAGCTCGAAGATGCCCTGCCCCTCGTCAAGATTCAGATACTCCATGAACAGGAGTGGTGCGAGCGTGATTGCGAACACGATCATCATGGGCGCAAAATGCGTAAAGCACACGCCATAGCTGATCGGGACCGCGAAGAAGGTGCCGAGCGTCACGAGGCCGTACGGGTTCTTGTGCGCTATCAAGACACAGACGTACCCCGTCACACAGCCCAGGAACGTCCCGCACATTCGGTAGAAGCCGATGCGCAGCGTCGCACCAGTCGTCACTTCGATCACGTACATGAAGCTGACGACCATCCACGGTCCGCGCGAGCGGTCGTACCACACCCTCCCCGCTTGACCCGGTGGCATGAGCCCCGGAATAGAGAGAAGACAGATGCCAACCGTTTGCTTGACGGCAAAGTGAACGTGGCGCGAATGCTTGATGCCGTAGAAGAGCTTGCTGAGCCAGACGCGCGCCATGACTACCGCGTGTCGGTCCCAGATCAGGCGCCACGCGTTTGCAATTCGCTGGGTCAGCGACCCCTCCCGTGCGTGCAGATGCAGCTCGCGCTTCTCGTGAAGCAGCTTGTGCACGTAGTCGAGGTCCTCTTCTCGCGGCGCGTCCTGGGCGTCGTCCTGTGGCGGGACAGACACGCGCTCGATGGACGGCATTTCCGCGTGCGGCGCGACAGGCGACCACGGCCAGAGTATCGGCGGGAAGTACCAGCGCTTCTTGCCCGAGGTCTGCTCCAGCTCCTCGGCTTTGTCCAGCAGCTCGCGCGTGTCCTTTGCTAAGTCGAGGAGCGCGATCATGTAGAACGCGATTCGGAAGCGGTCCTCGTCGTCCAGCCAGTCGGTCTCGATGAGCTCGTCTTCAAACGTGATCGCGCGGGCCGAGAGGTGTGAATCCGACGTCGTCCTCGCCAGTCCATCTGCGCCGTAGATCGTGTCCACGATACCACCGAGGCGTTTCTGCAAATCCAACAGCGCTCTGTCCAGCTGAGCCTTGAGCTCTGGGACGTGCACCGCATCCTTCGGCGCCTGGTCTCCCTGCCAGTCGCACGCGATGGCGACCAGGTTCCCCGTGCCGTAGAGAGCGGCAGTGATCGTGTCTGTCAACGACAGGCACGCCTGCTTCAGTCGGAAGCGAGCGCTGTCTCGACCGGGCGAGTCTGGCCTTATAATTTCCGTGCGGATCGACCCTCGAATGGATCCGTTGAGTGACCGCGTCCCACCTCGAATCTCGGTAAGACGGTTCAGCTCCAGAGACAGTTGACTGGGCGACGCCACGATCACCGCGCTCTCGACAGCGCTCGTCAGACTGTGCCTACTCAAGCTTCGGCGAGGAGTTCTACCCATCGGCGAGTGATTGGTGCTCCTGTGAAACAACGGAGAGGCGTAGGTTCGCTCCAGAGCCGCGCGGATACGATCGCCAGGCACATGTCCGGTAGGGCCGAGCAACGGGTTTCGCTGCAGTCGCGACAGAAGGCGAATGACGGGTATTAGGGCCTTGGGATGGTGTCGGGCATGCACAATGTCGAGCGAGTAATCCTTATGCGTCTGCTGGATCCCCTTGATCTGTGAGCGGAGTCGCTTGGCGAGTTCTTGCTGCTTGACTCTGGCAGATGGATCGACCATACCGGGGACGCCCTGAACACCTGCTTCCTCGTCTCTCGGGGAAGCTGAAGACGAGGCGTCCGTGCCGATCTCCGAATGGAGGATCGTATCCAACGATGTCGGCAGTAACTGGCAAGTTGTGTCAACCGCCTTCATGAAGTGTGAGGCGAGGGCGGGAAAGCTGGAATGCTCGGCGAAAATGATGCCACACACGGTCGCGATGCCGTACGCAAAGAGGAACGTGAAGAACTGGTCCGTGAACAAGTACGGCTGATACTGTGGTAATTAGCAAGATTTAAGCAGATAAGCTTACGTGTACAATGCGTTGATTTGTGGTCAGAAGGAAGATCGGGAAGAACATTGCTGCTCGAGATGCCACATTGAGGCGGGGCACCCGTGAACGCAGGAAGCCGACTGAGGTCAGTCACCGGATCGGCAGAACACACTCACAAAACAGAGATAGTGTGGCCAGACCGACGCCTAGAATCGCTCGGGGCGTTGCAGTGTCCGCACCATACGTCCGCCCGCAGTAGGCAGCAATGGCCAAGATCGCCTGAGCCCATGCCAGGCCCGCCAATGCCCCGATTAAGCTTACAGCTGCACGTCAGCTGTGGGTCAGAAGACAAACTCACTGTTCAGCTCAACGATCTGGCTTACACGTCCTTTCGGGAAGAAGAACAGCGCGAGGCTCGAGGTGATATGAAACGCGTACCTGTGCCAGTTAGTCACGGCGGTGCTCACGTGCCACCCTCGCCACGACCGTAGTGGAGTGCACAGCCGTTGCCGCCACTCAGTCCGTGGAGCACTACTTACAGTCCGCATAGCCGGTTGATTGGGTGAATGACGGTGAACAGGAAGGTCAAGAAGGCGGCTATGATTGGGGTGACCAAGACGCGCGCCTTGACTGCCCAGGGAGGAAGCCTCGCCGCCAGTGAAAGTCTCCATGGCTTTTTGACGCTAGTCGGCGATGGCTTGGACGGTGCCTCGCTTGTCTTCTCCCCGTTGGCCGACCCTGTGGCCATGGTGAGCAAGAGTTGACGCGAGGCCGAATGATGTTCCGAGGTGTTTGAGAGTGCGTTAATGTACGACGATGAGAGGGAGCAAGACGACTCGCTCCATACTGAAGGGAGTGAGGGTCGGTAATCTCCGGACAGACCGCGGGTTCGGGAGCGTCGGTGAGCCGCGATTATTATTGATAGCGTAATGTCCAAGTAAAGACAGTCACAGTCACAAGATTTTGATTCCGCCCCGCCGGCAAAGGCACATGACGAGAAAGTCTGATACCACAGATCCAGCCAACTATTGATAGCCCTTCCGACCTCCTCATCGCACTCGCACCCCCCGCCGCCGCCATGACGCATCTCACGGCCCTCATCGAGTCGCAGAAGGGCCCCGTACACACATACGAGTTCTTCCCGCCTCGGACAGAGCAGGGCTTCACCAACCTCCTCGACCGTATCCGTCGCTTGACCCTCCCGCCGCTCCGACCTCCAGTCGCCGTGTCCGTGACATGGGGTGCCGGCGGCAGCACCTCGGACCGCTCCCTGGAGCTGGCTGACGCCATCACCAAGATGGGTGTCGAGGTCATCCTCCACCTGACCTGCACAAACATGCCCAAGGAGAAGGTCGATACTGCCCTTGCTGTGAGTTGCCCCAGCGAGATGCATAACTGACAGCAGCGCGCCAAGGAGCTTGGTATTACCAACATTCTCGCTCTTCGTGGCGATGCCCCTCGTAGCGATGAGTACGCGACTGACGCCGACGCGAACATGGACGAGTTCCAGCACGCCGACGACCTCGTTCGCTACATCCGCAAGCAGTATGGTGACTACTTCTGCATCGGTGTTGCGGGATACCCCACTCCGCACCCGGACTCTCTTGACGCCGACGACGACCTCAAGTGGCTGAAGGAGAAGTGTGATGCCGGAGCCGACTACATCATTACCCAGCTGTTCTACGACGTGCCCGCGTTCGCCGACTGGGTGCAGCGCTGTCGCCAGGCCGGTATTGCGCAGCCCATCATCCCCGGCATCATGCCGATCCAGAGCTATTCGTCGTTCCGCCGCCTCATCAACCTCACAAAGTGCACCGTGCCCGACTACATCATGCAGGAGCTGGAGCCGATCAAGACGAACGACGCCGCCGTGAAGCAGTACGGCGCCTCCCTCGCGACCGAAATGGTCAAGAAGCTTATGGCGTCGAAGCTTGTTCCGGGCGTGCACTTCTGCACTTTGAACCTAGAGAAGTCGGTCCGGACGATCCTCGAGAATCTGCAGTGGAACTCGAAGAAGGTGCACGACTCGATCCACTCGTCTCCCGTGAGCCGGCACAACCAGCTGATCAGCGAGGAGGCGCTGGAGATGGACGATGGCGAGGAGAAGGTGCCGCTCGCCGTGTCGGCGGCCGACGTCGCTCAGTGGGTTAAGAACACGCGCGAGCACACTGCCGTCGGCGGCGAGCCGAGCTGGGACGAGTTCCCGAACGGACGTTTCACCGACGTGCGCTCGCCCGCGTACGGCGAGATTGACGGATGGGGCAACGGCCTCAAGATCACGCCTGCCCAAGCGCTCAAGGAATGGGGCACGCCGGCCACGTTCGAGGACCTCTCCGACATGTTCACGCGGTATCTCCGCAGCGACCCGGGAACGCCAACGACCCCGTTCTGCGACATGCCCTTGTCGCCCGAGTCGCAGACCATTCTCGACTCGCTCATCGCGCTCAACGCCCCGGACAAGCGGTACTGGACTGTCGGATCGCAGCCGGCCGTCGACGCTGCGCGCTCCGAGGACCCGGTGCATGGCTGGGGCCCGCCGGGAGGTTACGTTTTCCAGAAAGCTTACGTCGAGTTCTTCGTGCCCAAGTCCGAGGTCGAGCGGCTCGAGAAGAAGCTCGCGGGCGAGAAGTCCACGCTCTTCAGCATGTACGCTGCCAACCGACAGGGAGACACGGCGGGCAACACGGACAAGGAGAGCGTGAATGCCGTCACGTGGGCTGCGTTCCCGGGCCAGGAGATTGTGCAGTCGACGATCATTGAGGAGCTCTCCTTCCTCGCGTGGAAGGAGGAGGCGTTCGAGATCTGGGACGAGTGGGCGCGCCTGTACCCGCGCAACTCGCCGGCGCGCAAGCTGATCGAGAACGTAAGCGACGAGTGGTGGCTCGTCTGCCTGATCCACCACAACTACAAGGACACGGAGGGTCTGTGGCGCTTCCTCCTCGACAACTAAATCTAGACAACCATATCCCGCTTGTAACATTATGCACATCACGTTGAAACATTGAGGCCATGATCCTTTATGCTGCATCTATAGTAGTGTCGTAGTAGTACAAAAACAGAGTTTTACTCGTCGTCGCTGTCCTCCCTCGTCGCGTCGTCGTTCTCGCGCTGCGCCGCCGAGATGCCCGCGAGCAGATCCGGTCCGTCATCACCCTTGCGCTGGGCCTGCAGCCGCTGGCGGAAGATGGTCGCGATTGCCTCGTTCGTTCGGCGCTCGAGCTTGCCCATCCGTCGGCTCATGTCTCGCTTCAGGTCCGCGTTTACGCGCTGCGGCTGGATGTTGAAGAGGTCCTGAATGTTAGCTGCCAATGCAAGTCATGTAGCTCACGAGTTCCTCAGCGCGGCGCGCCTCGTCCTCGGCCACAATCTCCTCAGCCAGTCCGTCGACTGCCTTCTCGACCGTGTCCTCCCCGCTTTCTCCAGGCTGGCGCAGGCGGAGTGTCCGCGTCTCGGGATCATAGTTTCGCAGCTTGATCGTGAAATGCGTATTTCTGTTCGTCAGTTATTGGAGAACCCTCTCACAACTCACCCCGTCTCGCCCTTGTCGTGCGCCTCCTTCCGCTTCCGCAGCTCGATGAGCCGCTCGCGACGCACCGCGTTCGTGGCAGCGAGCGTCGTGTCCATGGTGGATGGATAGGTCGACCTGAGCGAGTGCAGTCAATATCGGGCTTCATTTGTGTTGCCAGGTTCAGGAACGGCCGACCGTGGGAGAGTCAGTTGCCACCCCGCGCTTGAATCAGCAAAAGTTGGATTCGTCCGGCGATCGGTCACCTACCATCTCACTGACACTCGCGCGACCATGTCGACCGTTCCCGAGCAAGCACCAGCGGCTGCGCCGGCAGAGGGAGTCGAGAAGCCGAAACCCCGCCGTCGGTTCGTGGGCAAGACGCCCGGCTCGGCGGCGCGCACGGCCCCGCGCCGAGTCGCGAACCAGGTGCCCGACGAGATCCTCAACGATCCCGCGCTCAAGGAGGCGATGGCGGCGCTCCCGGGAAACTACAACTTTGAGATCCCAAAGACGATCCACCACGTTCGTCGCGAGGGCGTCAAGACTGTCGCGCTCCAGATGCCCGAGGGACTGATGATGTACGGATGTGCCATTGCTGATATTGTCGAGAGGTGAGCTATTCCGCTGACGAACGGGATCTGGAGCTGACGAACAGGTTTACCGGGGCCCAGCCTCTGCTTCTCGCTGATGTGACCTATGGCGCGTGCTGTATCGACGACTTCACCGCGCGTGAGATGGGAGCCGAGATGATCGTGCACTACGGCCACTCGTGTCTCAGTGAGTTGAGCAAGCTAGTTGGCCTGAATGTAGCTGACCTCAGTCCCCGTGAACCAGACGAGCATCAAGACGCTCTACATCTTTGTTGAGATTGCAATCGACTCGCCGCACCTCGCGCTCTCCGTGCGACGAAACTTCCCGAGCGACCGGGAGGCGTTCCGCCGCTCCGTGCTTGGTGCCGGTCCCGCCGAGCCAGGAGCCAAGGTCGACATTGCGCTCGAGGCCGATGAGGAGAAGAAGCTGTCCGAGGGCGCCGCCGCCGAGGGCGAGACGCCAACTCGCCTAGCTTTGGTCGGCACGATTCAGTTCGTCGCCGCCGTGCAGGCGCTGCGGGACGACCTAGAGCAGGCCATGCCGCCGCTGGAGGAGCAGGCGGACGGGGAGGGCGCCGACGACGCTTTGGCCAAGGTGCGGAAGGGCGAGATCGGCGTCTGGCGGGGCAAGTACGACGTGACGATCCCGCAAGTGCGTCCCTTGTCGCCGGGCGAGATTCTCGGCTGCACGGCGCCGCGATTGCCCGCCGACGTCGATGCGCTCATCTACGTCGGCGACGGCCGCTTCCACCTCGAGTCCATCATGATTGCGAACCCGTCGGTGCCTGCGTTCCGGTTCGACCCGTACTCGAAAAAGTTTACGCGCGAGGTGTACGAGCACAAGGAGATGCGCGCGATTCGCGGGGACGCGGTGCGCAATGCGCGCCGAAACCTTGTCGAGCGCGGGGCCGACTCGTGGGCCATCCTCCTCGGTACGCTGGGACGGCAGGGCTCGCTCAGCGTTCTCAAAACTGTGCAGGGGAGCTTGCCGCCGGGGACGGATGCGCTGCCCCCGCTCCTGATCCTGCTCTCTGAGCTGAGTCCGGCCAAACTGGCGCTGTTCTCGAAGGATGAGATCTCGACGTTCGTGCAGACCTCGTGCCCCCGTCTCAGCATCGACTGGGGGTACGCGTTCTCCCGTCCGCTGCTTAGCAGTTACGAGGCCAGCGTCGCCGCCGGCAGGATACAGGGCTGGGAGGGTACGGAGGTCGATGGCAAAAAGGGCGCGGGCGACTATCCCATGGACTTCTACGCCGATGGCTCCCTCGGCCCGTGGACGCCGCGACACCGCCCGCCCCGACCTCCGCGCGAGCCCCGTCCGCCCCGCATGACCAAGGTCGCTACATAGAGTATGAGTCTACATGTATCTTATCTAGTCATACAACAATCACGCAAACTCCTCATCCTCCTCGGGCGAAATCATGTCGTTGATGCAGTGCACGAACGGCGCCATGACCTGCACCGTCTCCTTCAGCCGATCAACGAAGTGGGGGTCGGTGACTTCCTCGTCCGAGAACCTGAATATCAGCTTCCATCGGCGCCCTCGAGCTTACCTCCGGACAGCCGTGAAGCTGCGCATGCGGAGCAGGTCGATGTCCTTGTGCGTCTTATCGATGCCCTTCGGGGCAATCTTGAGCTCGTCCTTCTGTCCAAACACGTTCTGTCTCTTGCCTTTCGGGTGCGGCTTCGCTGGGCCGAACATGGCCACGAACTCGGGACGCTCAATGGCATCACGCAGCTGCTGGGGGTTGGAGAGGATGCGCCGGCGAATGTTGGCCAGCACATTTTTCTCGGGCTGCCACGCGCCGCATGCCATCGCCGTGTGGCCCCCGGGCTCGATGTAGAGGTGGTACCCTGCCCAGATGCCCTTGCGCCCGGAGCGCGAGTACGACAGGCCAAAGTGCGACTTGTACGGAGACTTGTCGCTGGAGAATCGCACGTCGCGGTAGATCCGGTACTGATGTCAGTTTGCGCTGGAATATGGAGAGCTCACGCAGATATCCCGCGACGGCAGGACCGGCAGCTCGTCGTCGGCCTCGTTGAACTTGATCTGCATCACTTGAACAAAGTCGTGCCACTCCTTCTCCGCTTGCCGGAACGTCGGCTCGTGCGACTTGAACCATTCGCGCGTGTTGTATTTCGGGTACTGAAGGTGCGTCAGGAAGTCGAGCGTGTTGCGCGAGATCTGGCCGGGTGGTACTGAACGTCAGCTGACGGTCCATGAATGGCAGCTTGAAGACCTACCTTGCCCCGTCTTCGGTGCGGGGTAGACCTTGATACGGGCAACGATCTTCTGTCCCGGCTCAAGCTCGATGTCGTCCTCGTCGTCCTCCTCCTCTTCCTCTGCGGCTTTTTTCCGCCTCTTCGCCGCCGGTGCTTTGGCACCTGCACCGCGTTTCCGTCCAACCTTCGGCGTAGCGTCGAGGTCCTCACTGACGACCGACTCAATGTCGTCCTCGACCTCCTGTTCAGACGCACTGGGCTCGAACGCGTCGCTCTCCCCGTCGGCCTCCTCCGAGTCGGACACCTCCGACGCCCCGGACGCATCGTCCTCGTCCTCCCCATCTGAGGAGGATTCTGATTCACTGTCCTCGTCCTCGTCAGAGGTCATCCCTGTGGGCTCGTGCGCGTCGCCATTGTCCGCGCGCTCGTTGGCCCGTGTTGCCCCACGCCCCTTGCCCCCCTTGGTGGCGTTTAAGGCGGTACGTGCGTTCCGCTTGGGTGTCTGGGCCGCGGCCTGGCGCGTGCTGGCGCCCCTGCCCGCCTCGCTCGCGTTCGGCTTGGGAGGCCCGCGCCTCAGCGAATTGCGATACGGCATATCGCAGAGTCGGAGGACGTGCGTATCGTGCTTGTTTGCTGGACCTGCTGCAGCGAGAGTCGGCGAGCGTTGGGGTCGCGGGTCGCGGTTTGGGCGAGGCAAGGTCGAGTTCGGGCAGAATCTGGGTAGCCGTCCGTTTGCGGTCGACTGCTTTGGTTTATCCTTGCTTCCTTGCTGTTGTCCTTTCTCAACACTCTCAACTTTCTTTTCGCCACCCAATAATAAACAACAAGTCGTCCCAGCCGGCCGTAGCAAGCTGCTTGCGATCGTGATCGGAGCGTTGGAGTAAAAGTGTTGTGGTGAACGCAGGAAATATCGGGCGCGTCGCGCCGCTTTCATGACTTCATCTTGCCGTGCCTTGGTTGCCTTCACCCTGGACAACTCTCCCACGGCCGCACCCATTAGACAAACCGCAGCGGCGGCGTCAGGTGCGTCATGGACCACTGGATCCGGGCTCCGCGACATCGCATTCACCTCGATAACAACCACCCGAGCACCCTCACCATGTCCTCGGCGCAACGACGAAAGGTGAGCTTGAGTTCTTGGCCTGAGCTGACGGGCAGGTGCTGCTGATGGGCAAGTCGGGTGCGTATCTAGTTGTCGGGCTTGTTCATACAACTAACAAACAGGGTCTGGCAAGACCTCGATGCGCTCGGTCATCTTGTGAGTCGCCGTGTAGGATCAGGAATTTGGCTGACGGACAAGCTCAAACTACACCGCAAAGGACACGCGGCGGCTAGGCGCCACGATCGATGTGGAGCAGTCTGCAGTCCGACTTCTCGGCTCGCTCGTCTTGGTACGTAGGCATCTTTTCAGCTGGATGATCCCCGACCTGGAGCTGACAAACAGAACCTGTGGGACTGCGGAGGCCAAGATGCCTTCCTGGACAACTATCTGTCGGCGCAGCGCGACACGATCTTCTCGAACGTGGCGGTGCTGATCTACGTGTTCGACATGACGTCTACGGAGTGGGAGAAGGACCTGCACTACTTCGAGGACAACCTGAGTGCCCTGCGGGAGAACTCGCCCGACGCCGGCGTCTGGGTCCTGATGAACAAGATGGACCTGGTCGACAGCGAAGACCCGAAGCGAACCAAGTACCAAGAGCGGCGGGACGAGGTGCTGGCGCTGAACGACAAGCTGAGCAAGGATGTGGACGGCGCGGGCGGGTGCCGCTGCTTCCCGACAAGTATCTGGGACGAGTCGCTGTACAAGGTGAGCTGCTCAGTCTCGCACAAGCTGACAAAGTTCCAGGCCTGGTCGAATGTGATCCACACGCAGATCCCGAACATCAAGCTGATCTCCGCGCACTTGACATACCTCCGCGACATGCTGGGTGCGGCCGAGATTGCCGCGTTCGAGAGCGAGACCTTCCTCATCATGGCCAAGAGCGGCTCGCCCCTGGACTCGGACTCGAGCGAGGCTGATGACGTCGAGAAGGCGAAAGGCGTGCCCGGCCTCGATCCGGAGCGGTTCGAGAAGATTTCGGAAATCGTCAAGAGCTTCCGCAAAACGTGCCAGAAGACGGGGGAACAGTTTTACGGCTTTGACGCTCAGTTTGACGGCGTCACAGTCGTGCTCGAGCCCATGACGCGCAACACGTTTGCCATGGTTGTCGGCGTCGACCCGACTGTTGGTGAGTCACCCTCTTCTCGTTTTGGGGACCTCTCAGCTACCTGATCTATTTCGTTGCCCAGCTGACAGACAGAAGCCGGACTCGTCAAGTACAACATGAACCAGGCGCGCCTGCACCTCGCCGAGGTCGGGACAATGACGACGATGACGCGAAAATGCGGCGTGTGCGAGCACAACGTCAAGCTCGAGCACAACATCAGCTACAAGCCCTCGAACCCGAGCGGGCGGGCATGGGATGACGTCGGCATCGATGTGCCCGCTGCGGCATGAGTTAGATACCATAGATAGGAATACCAGGTGGTTGGGATCTTATGTACATGTTGTAAGTACAGATGGATACAAGTCTAATCAGGCTGGGGACGTGGCGTCGGTCGCCAAGCCGGAGCGCGATCTCGCACAGGGGGGTTAGCGGGGAGTTGACAAGGTGGCAAGATTCTAGATCGTTATAGAGTGTGAGGGGGAGGTGTTGGTAGGGACGGACAGGCGGATCATTCGAACTCTGCGAACATGCTCTCAAAGTCGGGGTCGTTGACGTCCGGGATGATGTCGCCAAAGTTGAAATCGTCAAAGTTGAGGTCCATGTCGCCGATACCATTGCCCGTGTCGAAGCCACCGAGACCGTTGCTCGTGTCGTCGGTCTTCTGCTCGGGCTCGGGCACAGGGACGGGGACAGGATCCGGGACCGGGGCAGGCTCGGTTGCAGCTGCGGCGACGGGGACAGGAGCCGGCTGAGGAGGTGCAGCATCGGGAGCGGGCTGGGCCGGGGGAGCACTCTCGGCGGGCGGCTGGGCGGGCTGAGCAGGTTGAGCTGGTGTAGCAGGCTTCTGCGGCGATGCCGATTGCGGCGGTTGCGGTGTGGGCTGTTGTTGCTGCTGCTGCTCCTGGGGTTGTTGCTGCTGTTGCTGCTGCTGTCCGTTTTGGGTCTGGCTCTGGTCTCCAGTCGCCGCAGGCTGCTCCGCGGTAGCAGCTGGAGGCTGATCATCTTTCTTCTCCTCGTTCGCGGGTGCAGGCGCGGTCGCGTCTGGAGCGCTGCCGGGCGCGCCCATCGCATCGCCAACGGTCGAGTCCTCGGGGAACAGATCGTCGAACGCACTCAAGTCGATGGAGGTCAGGTCGACGCCGCCGTTCTCGCCAAAGTTGAACTCGAAGTCGCCAGCTGGTTGTGGGGGTTGCGATTGCGCCTGCGGGTTCTGCGCGGCGTCGGTCGTGTTGCCCTGGAGTGTGTTGAGCAGGTTGGACGTGTTCGGCGTCATCGCGGTCTGATCGGGCGGGTTGTCCGTATTCTGCGGGACGTCCGGGACCTGCATCTGCTGCGGCATGTTCATGTCGTTGCCGCCATTGACATTGCCGTTCTGCGCACCGCCGATGAAAGCATTCAGCTCCTCCATGTTCATGCCGTCCAAGTTCAGGCTGCCGTCAAGCAAGCCCTCGGGAAACCCTCCAGGTACGCTTGCACTTGCCGGCGGCGCCGGCTGGTTCGACAGCAGACTGGCAGCGCCAAGCTGAATCGGAGATGCGGCAGCAGCGGCCTTTGGCGTGTTGCCCTGCATGTGTGCTGGGATGCTTGGGCTTGGGGTCGGTAAAGTCATGGGTGCGAGGGGCAACGGCGGGGGTCGAGCCTTCATGAACTTCTCCGGGGCGGCCGCGTACTCCACATTCTGCGCGATAAACCACTCCACCTGTCGTCGCACAGCATCGTAGTTCCGCCACGCCGTTTCTAGTCGAAGCTCGAGCTTCCGCGGCGTCTTCGACTTGTATCCGATCGCTCGGCTGTCGGCCTGATATTGCAGAATCATCGTCGCGGCTATCAGGGCATCCTGGAAGTCAGCACATGTCCGTGCGACAGATTCCTCGTCCGGCTTCGTCGCCAGCCTTCTGATCACACGACCCTGTGATGTCGACGAGAATGGAGGCCTTCACGATGCGATGTGGACTGTTCGAGCCGAGGTTTACGACCTGCGATGCGACCCACGCAGCTATACGAACTCACCTTGTACTGCTGCTGCATGACTTCCACCTTGTCAACAATCCATGAGGGACCCGGTGCAAGCTTGGGCTTCTTGGGATCTCGTTGCTTATCGGCGGGACCTGCGCCGCGCTTCAGCGCACTGGGGCTGGATCCCTGGGGACTGGGACCCGCTAAGCTAACTGGTGACGGGCGAGTCGGAGTGGAGAGGTTGCGCTGGGCGACGGCGGCGGCGCCGGAAGAGGCGACGGGACTGGGAGCTGCTCGTGGGCTGGGAGCTGTACGGGGACTGGGGCCGTTGATGGGCCGAGGACTCGGTCCGCCGAGTGGGGAAGGGCCAGTCCGTGGGCTCGGGCCGGGGCGAGGACTCGGGCCACCCAGCGGCGATGGGCCAGCGAGGGGACGCGACATGGGGGTGGGTCTCGTATGGAGGATGCAATGGGAGTATGTGTGTGGGTTGGCGGCAGTGATGTGTGGGAATGGGGTGTGTTGACAAAGCAGGTCGCTGGGCGTTGGATGAAAGATGGCGGCGAGCAGGGAGCCAAGGGCGACTGGGATGGCTTAGGGCGAGGAGGTGTCGGGCACGAGCTTGGCTTGAGGCGGCACTGTACGGTGCGGTGCCAGGGGCCCAGGGGTGACTGCAAGTGGACTCCAGTGACTGACGGGGGCCGCCGATGAGCCCAATCCCTGCGAGCCTCCCCTGCCTTAGGCCATTCCATTGTTTAACCGACCACACCGCCGGCATCGTCCAAGATCTCTCATCCTCCTTTGTAGTCTGTCCGATTTGCCAACTCGCTATTCTTCAACAGCTTCTATACAACCGTTCACAACTCGTCGCCCTCTGCAACAATCTGCGTACTTGAAGCTTCGGAAAGCGCTCGGGCTGACCTGAAGAGCCCGGCTCATTTCCAGTCCACTCGCCCGGGAAAGCATCCGAGCTTCCCCACCCCGCCTTTCGCTTCCTGGAATAGCGTAAAGGGAATGCTGACGACAGCAATCGCGGACTGGCTGACAACGGCCTTCTACACATGAATTCAGCCAGGCCGTTCTGGCGTTGACAGCAGGGACTGCGCTTTCAGCCTCCCTCGCGCTGGCGCAGACATGCTTGTCCTGACTCTGCCTGAAAGGACTCACGGCGACGGCGACGTCGGAGATCGGATCCAGCGACCTGGGGCCCGTACCTGAATCCAACGATCTGCCAATCATCAGCCTGGAGCGTCGACTCTCCAGGTGACACAAGATGAGGCGCTCGTTACGGAGTGAGGGCGTCCAGTCAACACTTCCGACCGCCGACATGCTCTACCTTAGAAGGTAGAGCATGAACAGCCGTCGTGAGGATTCCGAACCGCTGCAGCGCTACCTCAGCGCTCATAGGGACCCAGCTCTTACCATTTGGCAGCAAAGCAATACTGACGTCTACCTCACCGACACTCATCCGGCTCGGACGGATCACCGCGGCGTCATGAACGGGATACACACACTCTGTTCTAGTCATGTGCTGCCAAGTGCACTGCAAACATCGAGTACGTTGTCGTGTGCACGGCGCAACACACACCATAAGCAGACCATGTCAGGAAGGATCTGAGATCTAACAAATCTGCTCACACACCTCATGACGCTCGTCGTCTGATGTCCAGCGCCGACGAGCTCGACGGTCTCCCAGACATAAGAGCAGCAGTTCAGCGGGTCGACCAGTCTCGCTCTCATGATCACCTACGCGCTCATCCTCATCGTCAAGCGTCTAGCCAAGTCCATCAAGAACATGGGTCTCTTCGACTTTATCTACTCCACCGGCGGCAAGCTCGAGGCAGTCCCCGAGCCCATCGGCGTCCACCCGCAGATGTGCAAGAGCCAGCTGACCACTCTGGTCCTGAAGGAGTCACTCTTCTCCATCAGCGGTGTAAGCTTAGAGATCGCTAGCTGCTCCAATCCCTAATGCTCAGGACGATTTCTCGATCACCGATGCGACCACCCAGCAGCCCGTGCTCAAGTGTTCCGGCAGCATGCTGTCGCTGCACGACCGCAAGAGTCAGCTTCTAGCCCTGTCATCGTGAGCTGACGCTAGAGCTGTACGACACCAACGGCAACCTGCTCTTCAACATTTCGACCGACAAGAGCTCCCCTCGCAAGTCCATGGTCGGCAACCTCGACAACGGCAAGGAGGGCTTTGAGGTCCACATCCGCCGTGGCAGTACGTTGCATAGAGTCCATTGTGCTAACGTTCAGTGGGCACCAAGCTCGCGGCGACCTTCATCAGCATCGGCGGTGAGCGCAAGACCCTGCACCTGGACGGCGACATGTGGGGCCGCACCGCGAAGCTCAAGCTCGACGACGGCACCTCGCTCGGCCACATTGCGCGCGAGCTCGTCAACGTCACCGACTTTGCGGCGGACAAGCAGACGGTGAGTGTTTGCGGCTTCCCCCTTCCACGCCTAATACCCCGTCAGTACTGCCTCACCGTCGCGCCCAACGTCGACATTAGTCTGATGGCCGCGATCTGCGTCTGCTTCGACGAGATTAAGAACGACGCCGACGACGACGAGGAGAAGAAGAAGGACGACGACTAGGAGGAGGCTGTGAGGCCGCCGAAGCATCACCGAGCCCGCGTGGGCGTGCGTGCTCGTGCCTAGCGGAGCTACATAGTCCGGTCGGTTTACTCAAGGCACGGGCCGGAGGCCGGAGAAGTGATGTGCATGGTAGGTGTCGGAAATCGGAATATTACTACGTAGTCGAGAAAGTTAAATCGAGGGGCAGTTGTGAATGCAAATGCAGAATGCGAGGCGCAGAGGCGCAGAGTGAATCTGGACAGAGCACGCAATGCAGCGCCCACGTCCTTTGCTGCATGCTGCAGGCTACCCCACACCCCCGCATCGCGCAAGCCCGATGTACGGTTGAGCCGGCTCCACACTGCCAAGCACAAACATGGCAGGGCACCTTGGTCTCAGCACGGCGGGCGAGCGGGGCAGGGCGCGTTGTTCTCGACCGCACGAGTGGGTGCAGATCTGCTGCCAAAGCTTACCTGTGGTGGGCTGGCAGTGGACGCGCGGCATTCACTATTCCGATCTCTTATCAATCGGGGTGCCGTGGTGCCTTTCGCTTGTGCTGGTGGATGCGCAGGCGCAGTCCTCCTGCCTTTAGCTTCCTCCGTCTTACGACACGGTGGACCCGCGGTCTACGGCCCCGGTCAACGGGTGGGACAGGCGCGCAGCTTGGGCAGGGTAAAGCATCATCGCAGGGCGCGCAGGGTGGCGCTCTCGTGTGCCCGGGACACAGGTCGGTCGACACATCTGCCAGCAATGCCTCGTCCGGGTGGTAGAGTGGTGTGGCTCACATAATTTCGCGCTTCGCAAGCACTGCAACGCGCTCTTATTTCCACCACTGCTGCTGCAGTTGTGTTTGTCCATCTCTCACGAGACCACGACCACCCGCTCGCCCCCCTCGCACTGCTCGAGATGCCCGACGTCGCCAGCCTCGACCGCCTGGACAACCTCCGTGAGTGACCCACCCGCCTCGCGTGACTGATCTGACGAGCAGAGCCCCCGCTCTCGCCGCCCGAGAACGAGCTCGTGAACGGCTACGGCGGCTGGGCCGAGTTCTGCGCCGTGTACGGGTTCAAGCCGACCAAGGCGACCGACATCGAGGAGGCGCACGCGGTCGTCAAGCAGATGGTGCAGGCCGATCTGTGGTATGGCCAGATCTCGCGCCGTTGATCATCGATCATCACCACCCCACTCGCAACCCCGCACCACCCCCCATCCAAATAAGTTCGTTAGCCCACTGGGGCAGAGTGGCGTATCTCGGCCTCTCCCCCTCGCCCAAAATCGAGCTGTCACTCTTACAGCTCGCCTTAGAAGTTGTATTTCTGCGTCCTGTTCACGAAACCGACGCTGGCAGCACTGGTCGTCGGACCTCCGGCGACGGGTGTCTGCGCATGCATGCATCATTAGTCGCACAGCAAAGTCCGCTCATCGTTGGCGTCGCTCAGGACACAGGACACTGAATGCGGGGATAAACCAAGTGCCCTGACGTCAGGTCACGTGTGAAACCCTGGGCGCGCTCCGCCATGTCTGGGCCATGTCTGGACGCGTCTTGCATTCCGTTGTCATCGTCCGGTTCCCATCAGTACCTGGCTTGGCTTCCCTCATCATCGCTCTCGAGCTCGCCATCGCAACCTCACATCCAGCAATGCCCTCCCTCAACGTCCTCCGTGAGAGCTGGGGGCGCGTGGATGAGCCATGAGCTGACAGGCAGAGCCGCCTCTCACGCCCGAGGAGCGCGCCATTGTCAAGAGCTACGGTGACTGGACTAACTTCTGCCTCGCGTTCGGTCTCAAGCCTTACAACGCCGACGAGAACGAGGAGGCTCTTCAGATCGTCCGCACCATGGCTCGCGAGGATGCGAAGCGCTAGGGTATGGCCTCGTCGGGATGCAGTGACTGACCTCAAGGGACTGCTCATCAATCTCGGTGTCTTCCTCGCAATCCAACAATAAAGCAAACGGCCCTCCACCTCCCCCAGCCACTCAGTTTTCATTGTGTTGGTTTTCAGGAGCCCACCAAGCACCCAAATTTGTAACATAGCTGTATGCAGTCACTGGGCCGTGTGTGCGTGCTGCTGTGCACGCTGCTCCCTCCGCTATCTAACACGGGTGCATCGGTGATCAAGCTCGATTCACGGTATCTTGCACCTGACGCGCGTGCCTGAACGCAAGTGCCACACTCAGGCGCCCGGCGTTTTGAGGGTGGCCAAACTGAAATCCACGTGGTGGCAACACGAAGATTTGGGAAACGCCGAAACGCCGAAAAACTGGCAGCCAGCCACGGGCAGTTTCGATGCTGGGCTGCCCAGTCTGGCGTGCAGTTTGTGAAGGCTACAGTTCGTTGGATCCCTTTCTCTCATCCCTCAAACTTCGATCAAAAATGGCGGCTTCCAAGTACGTACAGCGAGGACAAGCGACACTACGAGCATCCCACTGACATGCACAGCGTCCCCTCGAACGAGGTTCGTACCGATCTACCGCGGGTCCGAAGTTGGAAGAGCTGGAACTGGTCGTCTGAAGTCAAATTTGCGGATGAGGTTGTGGAACTTTGAACCGGTGGAAGGACGGGCTGGACGAAGGATCCTGGGTTGCGCACGACGACGGCGAGGCTATGCGCGCTGGAGAAGGGCTGGAATGGAAGCTGCAGACGAGGATTGGAAGGACAGAGTGCATAGCACTGGGACGGAAGGATCGTTCAAAGTTTCAAGAACCGCAACCTATCAGACGACCGCCTGCTCTTCGACTCGACGACCCGCGTCACACCTCTCATTGTTCATGTGCTAACACTCCTACAGCAGATCCTTGCCCCGGAGACGCTCCTCAAGAAGCGCCGCACCAACGAGGCCACTCGTGAGGCCAAGCTCCAGGCTGCCGCCGAGGCCCGCAAGTCGCAGAAGGCCAAGCGCAAGGTCATCTTCAAGCGTGCCGACGAGTACGTCAAGGAGTACGCCGCCAAGGAGCGTGAGGAGATCCGCCTGAAGCGCGAGGCCCGCAAGTCTGGCGACTTCTACGTTGCTGCCCAGCCCAAGGTCTACTTCGTCATCCGTCTTAAGGGTATCTCCAAGCTTGCCCCTAAGCCCAAGAAGATCCTCCAGCTTCTCCGCCTCCTCCAGATCAACAACGGTGTCTTCATCCGCGTCACCAAGGCTACCGAGCAGATGCTCCGCCTCGTTGAGCCCTACATCGCCTACGGTGAGCCCAACCTCAAGGCCATCCGCGAGCTCGTCTACAAGCGCGGTTACGCCAAGGTCAACGGCCAGCGCATCCCCATCACCGACAACGCCATCATCGAGGCCAACCTCGGCAAGTTCGGCATTGTCTGCATGGAGGACCTCGTCCACGAGATCGCCACCTGCGGCCCCAACTTCAAGCAGGCCACCACCTTCCTCTGGCCCTTCAAGCTCTCCAACCCCAACGGAGGCTGGCGCCCCAGGAAGTTCCTCAACTACATTGAGGGCGGTGACACCGGAAACCGTGAGCAGCACATCTCCAAGCTCATCCACCAGATGGCTTAAGCGCTCTACGTTATAGATCGTATAGCGTGATGGTTGAGGAGTTAGGGACGAAGGGCTGGCGCCCGGGGTCAGTCTTTCGTATTGCATGTACCCATTCTCGGACAACGCATGAGATTCTTGTTGCAAACATTCATTTCCATTCCCCACTGGTGCAGTCAGCTTAACGTCTACGTCTCGGGCCGTCGGTGTAAAGACACACGACGACCCCTTGATGAAACGTAGAGTAGGAGCTGTAGACGCTTGGCACGTCGACCACGATGTGGTCGCATAGCCTCTGCAGAGTAGATGGTTGGCACGGAGCAAGACGAACGAGCAGGCGCATCAAATCCGCACCCAGCTCGTGGGGCGGTGCATCTCAGTCTGAGTCCGAGGACTGCAACGGCTAGCTAGCCAGGAGCAGCTCGACCAGTGGGGAACACGACGGAGCAGCAATGGCTCAGAACGTGTACAGCAAAATTTTGGAGTTTTCATGGGGGTAAAACTAAATCTACAAACAACAATGCCACAGGGCAATCCTCAGCATTGAGAGTCGCGCGAGTGTTCGATGTGAAAGAAAGTCATCTGTTTTGTCAGCTGGAGCTCATAGCAAAGGAAGCTGAAAACAACGGCAAGAGGAAAAAAGAGTCTCAGTCCCGAAAGATGGTTAACGTTTAACAGCATTGCAGCGCTAGTTTAACAAATAGCGACGAATCGCACTCTCATCATAGAAGCTTTCCTCTTGCCGTGTTTTTGCTGGGTACTCACTGTTCGTGTCGTAGGGCCACCTCGCGATGGCCCTCTCCTTCGTTGGAAGGAATGGATAGAAGATTGATTTTTGCCAGCATAACACGGACAACCAACTTTATAGGACGCGGAACTTTTTCGACGCGCTCAAGCAAAGCCCAAAAGCCCGCTGGTGCGAGAGCCTGGCTGGTGTGGCGACTCACTGGACAGGTGTCGGTGGGGCTCCGCGAAATTCCACGTGCAGACGAGTCCTCAAGATGACTCGCAATGACACTTGCGAGCTGCATCAGCGGTTCCGAAATCACAACAATCCCCTGCACCGTCACCGAACAGACACCGGCACGATGTCCAAGCGTCTGAACAAGAGACAGATGCGCGAGCTCGAGGAGCTGCAGGCACTGAAGGCTGTTGAGTCGTCCACACCTCGCGGCGAGTCTGAGGGAGAGTCGGAGGACGAGGAGGAGGCCGCGCCCGCGTTCAACCCCTTCGCTGCTGTAAGTTGACGGTCTAGGGAGCGAACTGACGCCAGCTCGAGGGTGACGAGCCAGAACCGGAAGAGGAGGAGGAGGAGGAGGCGCCGGTAGCCGCGAAGAAGAAGGTGAGTCCTCTTGGCATTCAGACCGCATCGTGCAACTATGGGTGTTGAGGGCATAGCTGACCAGCAGAACAAGAAGAAGAAAAACAAGAAGAAGAAGAAGGGCGGCGAGTCCGCTGCCTCGACGCCAGCGAAGACGGACGAGCTCGAGGGACTCGACGAGGTCGATCGTGCGCTCGCCGAGCTGAAGCTGAAGTACGGCGAGGACGCTGCCCCCGCCCCCTCAGCGCCCGAGACGAGCGAGTCCCGGTCAGCTCTGAAATTCCGCAACCTGCTCAGTGTGGACCCGAAAAACCTCGACGCGGACGCGGAGCTGCGACGTTTCTTTGGCTCCAAGGTCATCGCATCTGCGGACGCTGCGACGCCACGCCACCGCGGACACGCCCGCATGCAGGCTGCGCTCAGCAAGATGCGCTACACCCTCGCCAAGCCGAAGGCGACGTACCCGCCCCCGACGTCGCTGGCGGGGTTGAACATGCACGAGATGGCTGATGAGGACGTGGCCGACCTCTACGACCGGAGAGGATGGGAGCAGACCGACCCGGGAGAGAAGTGGTACACGTTTGAGCACTCGCCGGCGTGGCGAGAGATCGAGCGGCAGTTCCTGGGCGCGGTGCGGAGTCACGGTGAGTCGTTTCCCAGCTAATCTCCCACCCTTCTCTAGCTGACGCCAGACCCGAACGAGCTCATGGCCCTGCTGCAGGTCTACCCATGGCACGTCGACACGCTCCTGCAAATGTCCGAGGTGTACCGACTGCAGAACGACATCGGTGCCGCGTCCGACTTTGCCGAGCGTGCGCTGTACGCGTTCGACCGCTGCCTCGTCCCGGGCTTCAACGTGCAGAGCGGCGCCTGCCGTCTCGACTTTGACTATGTCGAGAACCGACCAATGTTCACAGCCCTGCACCGCATCATCGGCTACCTCGGCCGCAGGGGATGTTGGGCGACAGCCTTCTCGTTCGCCAAGGTGCTCTTCGCGCTCGACCCCGAGGGCGACCCGCACGGCGCGGCGCTGTGGCTCGACTTCCTGGCCGTGAAGAGCGGGAACGGGCAGTGGCTCCTCGACATGCTGGCGCAGCGCGAGACGAGTCGTGCCGCAGCGCTCTGGCACGGGTATCCGGGCATGGGGTGGAACCGGGCGCTCGCTCTGCGGCAGAAGGAGACAGCAGAGAAGGACAAGGAGCACGCGGCGAGCACGGCCGCGCTCGTGCAGGCGATGAAGACGTTCCCCGAGGTCATCGTCCTGCTGGCGGACAAGATCAATGCGAACATCCCCGCCGCCGCGCGCCAGAGCCCCCTCACGCACGTCGAGGCGGGATACAGCGGCGATCCCTCTGTCGTGATCCACCTCCTGTCGCACATCTACGTGGCGCGCAACGAGGCGCTGTGGAAGGAACCGGCCGTCCTGGCGTGGTTCGAGAAGACTGTTCGGGACAACATTGATTCCATCGACGACGGCCCCGCACGCGCGGCGCGAGCGGAAGCACACGCCATCGCGCAGACCCCGCGCGACCTCGGCGCAGACGGCGAGCTCGCCATCCCCCTCAATATCTGCCGGCACGTGCTGTGCTCAGAGTCGACGAGCTGGCTCGGCTTCCTTCCGCCCAGTGTGACCTCGCGGCCATTCCACGCATACGACCCGCTGCCGCCATCGAGTGCGCAAACGGCGTACGACGCGCAGTACTTTGACCCCGTTGCGCGTGTGCGTGGGGCCGGGTTCCGCGGCGCAGCGGGCGGACAGCAGGTCCAGACTGAGATGCTGGCACGGTTCTTGGGCATGGTGCGCGGCATTGTGGGGCAGGAGCCGGGCCAGTGGCCGCAGCCCCTGCACGAGGCGTTCCAGCAGTTTGCAGGGCGCGCACCCGAGGACATGCCTGTTGCTGAACGCGCGGCGCTCGTGAGGGATCTGGTCAGGACGTGGGAGGAAATCGTGGCTGGGTTCCAGAATGGAGAAATCGACTTCGGGGATATGGGCGATACTGGGGGTGGTGACATGCCGGGCGCTTTCCCGTAGAGCTGATTCTGGGGAAGTCGTGAGATGATGCATAATAGTACAATGCTACGGAAGGAGCGCGCGAGCTTTGGGATAAGCTCAAGGGAACTCGACACGCGGAGGTGTGCACCGGGGTCATACAGGGCTTGCGGGGCCCTGATGTCAGCTGTTCACCGGTAGAGGAGAAGCTCACAAGTCGTGGCCCGGTGAGGACGAGGACTGTTGTCAGCTAATCGGCACGTTCTACAGCTCACGAACCCTTCGGGGGTTCCGCCAGTGCCTCCGGTCCTGCTTGTCAGCTCTATGGTGCTCTATGGTGCATGATCGAGTTCATGATCTGAGCTAAACAGCTGGTGGTCAGCTGGCAGTGACGTAGGACAGCTCACACTGCACGATCATGGCCTGCTATGGGTGGCTGCCAGTGGCCAGCTGAACGTCAGCTGCGATGAAACCGACTCGGCTTGCAACTCCAACCAGCCCCTGTTCCTGTTGCGTTAGCTTTCGACTGTCTGGCGTCAGCATACCGCGAGAATTTATATTGAGGCTCGCTTGGTTATGGCAGCTGCCGTCAGAATGCGGAGCGCGCGGGTATGAAGACTAGGTGTCGTTGGGCACTGCCATCAGCTCGACAGATTGCGCGAAGCTTACAGTAGTGGTACAGTGAGAAAGCGGTCGGGCTGATCAGTACGAACGCCGAGTCTGAGCTCGCAGGGATCAATGGGCCGACTCCTGCGACGTCAGCTACAGCGAGGGCCCCTTCAGCTTACCCGCGGACCTGAGTGTACCTCGATCGTGGCAGCGAGCACGCTGCTGTCAGCTACTCGTCCGCGGGCGCACAGCGTACGATTGCGCCACGCGTTTGAGAGTGGACAAGGGAGCGGCAAGCACTGCTGTCAGCTAGAAATTCGAGTTTTTGGAAGCATACCAAGGCCGCGCGATGCTAGCTAAACCGATGTAGCCTGTCAGCTTCATCCGTTGAGTTTAAGTCCAGTTCACGATGGTTGATAGAGTCTGCGAGGTTAGCTGTCAGCTGCCAAGGCAGCTCATCCCTACGAGGGCGGGCATGTGTCGACTCTTGGAACGACCCTGCTAATGTCAGCTACGTGTCCCCGAATGGCAAGCATACGTATCTACCTGAAGTGTGTTAAGTACTGTCGTCAGCTTCTGCGATCTATACCGATAGCTCACTACTACGGCTTCGTTTGGCTGTGACAGCTGATCCTGCTCCTCAGCTACCTCGTTCGACACGCAGCTCACCATGTCGCCTCGGCAGAGTCTGTGATGTTAGCTCGGAGGCCACTCAGGAAAGCTGACTGGGAAGGCGGCCGCAGGTGTGTCATCGTAATGGGGAGCCTGGCCTGGAGTCAGCTAGATTGGTCAAGGATGGTCAGCATACCAGAGCAAGTTAGAAGCACAGGTAACTCTGATGTCAGCTGGCGCCAATGCCTTGGCAGCTCACAGTGGGAACGGCTCTACATATGGCAATTCTGTTGTTCCACTGCGAGTGCTTGCACCAAGCTCTCAATGTTCGCAGTCAAGGATCATTCGACACGGATACCAAAGTCACAACGATGTTGAGGTCCGTTCTCCCAACGGGATAGGTGATCATACCGACGACACTGTCGATGAGGACTGTCCTCACTAACGTCAGGGAACAAAAGGCTCACAGGTGTGGCTTGGTGTCATGAAAACGCACCTCGTTGGCAGTAAGATATCACCCATACCAACGAAGGCAGCTGCGGCCCTTGCAGTGTCAGCTACCGTGCACGCCAATTGCACAACCGTACTCAACCAATTTCCTTGCTTTGTTTGTTAGGGCAGTAAAGCTGGAGCCAGCTAAGGTCCACGGGCAACGGAAGCTCACAGGAGTGAATACAGAGCACGTGCGAGCGCTGAAGTGAGCTGGCAATACTGGGCCTACGCAGCCAACTGGTGTCACACAATGCCAGCCAGCCCTGATCTGTCAGCTCGCAAACCTGAGTACACAGCTTACGCCTTCGAGGAAAGATGCCTGCGGTGTCAGCTACCCTCCTGGCCCCGCTGTAGCTCACCCGGCGGTGGCCGCAGTTTTGTCACTCTTCCGCGCGTGCTCGTGCCACGGAGGCGCCCTGCTCGTCAGCTAAGCACCGACGCGTCTGCAGCTCACCAGACTTGATAGCTGGAATTCCCCACGTCTGTCTGCACTCGACGGAGAGGTACCAAACGCTAATGTCGAAGGCTGTGTGTGAGGTACATCTGTCACTGGTCCAGCTTACCTCTGTTCTGCGGAGCCACTAATCCTGCGAGAGGTGTGCTGCCGCTGCCACTCACGAGAGCTTGAGACTGGGCGAACCCTATCTTGACAGCTTGGTCCAGCTTGCTGAGCCCTTAGACAGCTTTCGGTCTGACGGCATACGTGTTGTGAGTTCGGTGGCGACCAACCGAAATGAGGTTGAAGGTGGCACGATGGATGGATGGTGGCAACACTGACAGGTGATGAAGGTGCAATGCGGTGCGGAAGGGTGATGGACTGAAGTGAAGACGGTGAGGATTGCAAAGAGAGAGAGGAGTACGTTAGCAAGCGAAGTCCAGTCATCTGGCCTGTGTCGTGGACGCACACCATCGTAGATCGTGTGTCAGTTAGGTTCCGGAGGAAGACACATTTGTTCGCCACCCATGTACCTCCGCTGCATATGCGCCCCACTCTGCGTTCCCTCTGACACCCTCCAGATCAGACTTCTCACTAACGCCAGACTCCCGTTACTCGTCGCATTATATCCGGCTCAGAGATCAGAGAGCGGCCGCTGACCCAGTAGCATCTGCTGTCCAGAAAATCACCCTCCACATGAGGAGCGATGAAATCAGTCGCCACACCCAGTCCACCCAGTCGATCACGTGACAAGACACTTTCGTCAACCTCTTTAGTTCTCCGCGTGCTGGTCAGGCAGGGTAAGCAAGGTTCGCCAGCCACTCAGCTGAACAAGCCGAGTGCGAGCACAGACAGCAATGAGCACAGCTCTCGGCAGCCACGTGCCTTGCCCCGAAGCAAGTGCTCGAATGAAGCCAGGAGCCCACGGAGAAGCCACGGAGCCTGCGATCGTCAACAATCGTGACATTTCAGCCCGAGCCCGTCGTTGTGCTGGGTGCTGGGTGTCGCTTAAGTCGCGAGCATGAGTGGGACCTGATATGATCCGGGCCTTGCATAGAGCGGGGGACAGCGGGGGACAGCGGAGTGCGCAGAGATGTCTTGGCATCCAGCGTGCCTTTGGCAAGTCGCGAAACGTGCCCCGCTGGGCTGCTCACGCAGGCATGCTACAGTGGTCAGCTGAGAACCCCCGTGGACGGGGATTAGGTGTGGTGCCAGCCTGGCTGGATGATGGGCGGTGCATGCCGCATATCGACGGTATATGGGGCCTCCCTTTGGCGGCGCGAGGGCCGAGGATTAGCCATGCAAGCCAGGCAAGAGAAGACACTCCGGGCAAGGAGATTAGATGGGTATGCTCGGCTTGGGCGGCCAAAGGTCGGCATAAGCTCGCCTATTGTGCCCTCTCTTGCTACGAGTGGGCATAGTGCGCCCCCAGTGGTCCGCTTGCCCCGCGTTCTCCTCGCCGGCCCTGACCCTTGCCGCATTCATTGACACAGATGTGGACAAGGCATCAGACCCAAGGACCCAGTTCAGAAGACACATCGGGGCCTCCGCAATCTTTTCAGGGAATCATGTCACAGGGGCTCATTCCTGCAATGTGGAGGATGCCTGTGCAGTGTGGGCAACAGCTATCGATCGGACCGGTCACTGTCCTCGCCAGCGCAACGCAGCGGTCGCGAGCACGCATGCTCTGCTTTAGATTGCAGATTGACCCCACACGGTGACTGCTACCGAGAGCGGACACGGCCCTCCTTCCACCGCCTTGCCTTGGGCCTGAGACTTTGCCCCCTGCCGTGACCGGCATGGCCGGCACGGTATCGTCCATCCTCGCCAGACACGAGGCTCAGGACTTAGGTCGGCTCTCCAATCTCGGCAACAAGCCCAGCAAACCTCGGATCACCTGGGTCCCAGAGTGACCGGTGACACTGACCATGGATCACACCTTTATAAGAACACCTCCCCCACCCTTTGCTGTAGCTCTCTCTTCCCCCTCCAGACACCCGTGCTCTACCTCCTCTTTCTTTACCAGTTGTAAATAACGTCTCAAACGTCGAGCACACGACAACCGACAGCACACACAGTTTCCCCGCACGACCTCGAAGCTACCGTCGATTCCACAACAGCCTAGCGCCGCTGTTAACCGGTCCCTCCACCTCCCCCACTCTTTCCTTCGACAATGTCCCAGAACAGGATCTACACCTCGTCGCGCCCGCAGGTGCACCTGTCGGAGAGCTCGCTGTGGCACTACCTCTTCCCGGCGACTTCCAACTTCCACCCCTCGCAGCCCGCCTTCATCGAGGGCCACACCGGACGGCAGCTGACGCGCGCCGAGGTTGAGGATGTCGGTCTCCGCGTCAAGACGGGACTGAACCGCCTCGGTCTTCACCGCGGCGACACGGCCTGTCTCTGGGGCCTGAACAGCCTCGAGTGGGTCAAGGCCGGCTACGGCGTCATGGCGGCTGGCATGGTTGCGTCCACGGCGAATGCGTCCTATGAGGCCAAGGAGATTGCGCACCAGCTGAACAACTCTGGGTCGACGATTCTGTTCCTCGACCCCGAGTGCGTGCCGCGGTTTGAGGAGGCGCGGGCGCAGCTCGACTACGACTTCCCCACCGAGCGCGTGTACCTGCTCACGACGCGCGAGAAGAACCACACCAAGTACGGCGTCGTCGACGACCTCGTGCGCGAGCGCGGCGTTGCAGAGGTCTTCTCGGGCAAGGACGTGCACAACACATGCTGGCTCGGATACTCTTCCGGCACGACGGGTCTGCCCAAGGGTGTCAAGACGAGCCACCACAACTTTACGAGCCAGCTCTCGATTGTGCGCCAGGGATACCAGCCGCTGTCACAGGCGGACGTGCTCCTCGGCTTCGTGCCCCTCACCCACGTCTATGGCTCGGTTCTCGTCCTGACGCAGCCGTTCTCCGTCGGTTGTACCGCCGTCATCCTGCCCCGCTTCGACGAGAAGGCCGCCCTCGAGTCTATCCAGAAGTACAAGGTGACGCACGCGCTCTTCGTCCCGCCCGTCTTCATCACGCTTGTGCACTCGAAGATTCTCAAGAACTACGACATCTCTTCGCTGACCTCCATCGTCTCTGCCGCTGCGCCGCTGAGCTCCGAGCTCATCGAGGCGTTTAAGAAGCGCGTCCCGCAGGCGGTTATCACGCAGGCGTACGGCCTGACCGAGACGTCTCCGCTCATCACGGCGTTCACGACTGCCGAGGCTGCGGGCCACGACGGACACATCGGCCCCCTCCTTCCCTCATGGGAGGCGCGCCTCGTCGACTTGGACGGCAACGACGTCCCCGTCGGCGAGCGCGGCGAGCTCTGGGTCCGCGGCCCCTGCGTCATGACGGGCTACCACAAGAACCCCGAGGCGACCGCGAATGCGATGCACAACGAGTGGTTCAAGACGGGCGACGTCGTCGTCGTGCACCCCGACGGCTTCCTCCAGGTCGTCGACCGCGTCAAGGAGCTCATCAAGTTCAAGGGCTTCCAGGTGCCCCCCGCCGAGCTCGAGGCGCTCCTCATCACGCACCCCAAGATCACCGACGTCGCCGTCCTCGGTCTCTACGACAAGAACCAGGCCACCGAGCTCCCCGCCGCGTTCGTCACGACGGACGAGAAGATCAACGGTCCCGCCGATGCTGCAGCCTTCGATAAGGAGATCCAGGCCTGGGTCGCGGGCCGCGTCGCTAAGCACAAGCGTCTTGCCGGTGGCGTCCACATCGTCGACAGCGTGCCCAAGACGCCGTCGGGCAAGATCCTCCGCCGCTTCCTCCGCGAGAAGGGACAGGCCGACTACGACGCCAAGCTGGCCGCGAGCGGTGTCCAGGCCAAGCTCTAAGCTGGCGATCTGGCGAGCCGAAGACGAGCCCGGTCAATCGTCAAGGCGAGGGCCGGGCTTTGAGGAAGAGCGCGGAGTCGGCAGCGGAAGAAGTCATCTTGAGAGAAGCAAAAGCAGTCTAAGTTCATCTAGTTTTCCACGGAGTACAGGTTATATCTTTCTATCTTTCTTTTAGGTTTCTACATGGCGTTTGAGTGTAAAAGAAGTATAGATCACGAAGAGATGCAAGCACTACATCTTGCGATATGCGTCCCGTTGAGGCGGAAGGGATCTGCCGTCGGAGCCTGGGGAAGACCTCTCAGTTCTGCACTTCTCGACCAGTGGCCAGAGTTGCTGACCAGTCATGCATCCTACCAGAGCTCTATTCGAAGCCAGCCCTTGAGTCGTGGACAGATGCATCGCCGGAGCTCGCCTTGAGTCTGTGCAGAAAAGAAGTGCCTCACTGCTTCGCGTCCCACGACACGTTACGAGGGCGGAATCAATCCGTGCCGCGCTTCAACGTCATCGATCATCGATCGCCTCCACCCAGCCTCGTCAACAACATCCTCATCCACCAAGAGCCGTAAGCTACGTTTAGCCAAACCCAGCTAACCACAGATGGGCGACAGACAGCACGCCTTCCAGCCTCCGCAGGGGCAGCCGCCGACTCCCGCCTTCTGGCAGGCGGGGAACTACTACCAGCCCGGCAACCTGGTGTGGTGGGCGGGTTCAGTGTGGAAGTGCGAGAAGCCGCACACGTCCGGCCCCTTCAACCGTGAGGTGAGCTCAGACCTTGGAGCATAGCTGATAGGCCAGCCGACAATAGCATTGAACCTGTGGACGCCGATCGGTTCGTCTCTCATGGGTGCGCCAGGCCCTCCTCCGTCGTCTTCCTTCGCCATGGCGCCCGTGACCTCCTTCGTGCGGCGCGAGGACCCAGCCCAGCGCGCCGGCCTGATGCAGAGCGAGACGGAGGCGTCGTGGCAGACAGTGAACCTGCAGGACGAGCTGCTGGGCAAGCGCATCTTCCGCGTCGCGGGCGTCAATGCACTGACGTACACGCCCGAGCAGGAGCTGGACCAGCTCCGCAAAGCCGCTTGGGTCGAGTACCTCCACCGGAATGGCGAGAACGAGCCGCTGTGGACTGAGGGATGCCGGGGTCGCGCGGCGATCATGGCCGCCAGCGGCCGCGATGGCTCGCCCCTCCCCCTCGTGCGCTGGCAGTGGGTCGAGGTCGATGGGCCCATCCCCGTCGACGCTATCCCGGTCGGAAACGAGGCGGCGGGCCAGGTCCTCTTCGCGGGCCGCGTGTACATCAACGGCGGCATCCATCTGGGCAAGTGAGTCATCCTATCTTTATCTCCATTCGCTGGGCCTTGTATCTCGACCCCGAAGGCGTAAGAGCCAGCTGCACGGCTCCAGAGAGCTGACACCCAGGGTCGGCGAACACTTGCAGAACCGCATCAGCGTGTCGTGGGGCGGGGCCGAGCGCACGCACCAGGGCTTCGAAGTGCTGTGCGGCGATTACACGTGCATCGAGTGGATTCGCGTCGGCAAGGGTCAGGCCGCGACGTTCCCGAACCGTCTGCCCGTCGAGGGAGGGCGGGAGAGGGACGGCCGCGGCATCCTCGCCGCGCGCATCGAGTATGGCGGAGGCGTGCATCCCGGAAGTGAGTACGACACGACGTTTGCTGATATCCCCTAGCGGATACCAGTAAGAGGGAGAGGACACCAGATTCATTCCCTCGTGGAAGAGTAGCGGAAGCGCAGCTTGATTGTTTAACCACAGAGAGCTGACAATCACAGAGGTGCAGGCGGACGCGCAGCATGCGTGCCTCTCCTTCGGCGGGCGCGAGGTGCTCGTCGACGAGTTCGAGGTCGCAGTGTACTCCGACCCGAACAGGCGATAAACTCACGCGTAGCTCATCAACGCGCGATACGTTTCCATAGGTGGCCAGATCTAATCGGCCGAAGTTTGTATCTGATAAAATGTATGACGTAGTGGAGGCATGACTAAGCGGGTGGCTTGGAGATCTGCGCTGGGCACATGTCCATCGACTCATCTTTGACGGCACTTGCTGCTTCTGAACAACACTCACTTCCAGCATCTTTTCAGCGAACACGACAGTCAGCGACAGAGACAGCGACAGCGACAGCGACATGAGCACGGAAGAACAGCAGTCAACGGCGTGCGTCCCGGACGACCTGAGGGCGGCGGCCGAGAACAAGTTCGAGTACGGCGACAAGCCCGAGTCGTCCATCTTTGCGCGGGACGATGCGCCCGTACATAACGTCCCCATGGCCGTGATTCGGCGACCGCTGCCGAGCGAGCTGGACGAGGACAAGGTGCTCGCGTTCATGGAGGAGATGAAGGTAGGTCTTTCTCGTGGTGGAGGAGGAGGCTGGTGGAGGTTGGTCCAGTTCGGTGGAGGCGGTAGCGTGCGCCCTCATCCCAACCTCGCACGCCCAGGGAGCGTAGGTGGCTCGCAACATCGCACCAGCCGAAGAGCTAGGGGATCCAGGGGATGAGGTTGGAAAAACAGACAAAGGAACTTGTCCTAGGAGGCACAAGCATGCTGACAAGATTTCCAGAAGGGCGACTCCTTCACGCCCATCGAGGTCGTGAAAGTCCAAGCACCCCTCAAAACCGACCCAAATGGCCAAGTACACAACTTCTACTTCTCCATGGGCGGGTGTCACCGCTTCGAGGCGACGAAACGGCTTGGATGGCCTACGATCCGCGCACGCATCATCCAGGTGCCCCCGAGCAATATGAGGATATACCTTGGGGCTGGGTGTCCGTTTTAGACTCATTGTAGATTAGATAGATGGTGGATTGACTTGTGGCAGGTCACGTGGCACTTGCTCGTCTGCAAAGTTGATCGACTGACCCAGACGTCGAAATCGTCCTCGATCATATCGAGCAGAAGATACCAGCTGACAACGACGTCTGCAACTGACTGCGAACACAGATACTGCGAACGTGCTGTTGCGGGCTCTCAGGATGTTCAGTGATGAGCAACTTTGCGCACGAATCCGTTTGACGACCCTTCAAAATTTTCTGCAACTCGCAAGTGTCCTTTTTTTGGGTGGCCCAATCCATGCATTAATGGTACATGATCAAGGGAAGAAGGTGGGATGTCCGGTGTGGGGGGAAGGGGAGGACGAGACGCTTAGTCGAAGAGACCGAAGCCCATGTCGTCGTCAGACTCCTCCTTGGCCTCCTCCTTCTTCTCCTCAGCGGCGGGGGCGTCGCCACCGGCAGCGGCAGCGGCACCACCAGCAGCGGGGGCACCAGCGGCGGGGGCACCGCCACCACCGACGTTGGTGAGCATCTCCTTGATGTCCTTGCCCTCAAGAGCCTTGGCGAGGAGCGAAGCGTAGATCTGGTCGATCTCGAGCTTGGCAGCCGAGGTAAGGGCGATGAGCTTGTCGGCCTGGAAATCAGCTACACTTCCTAAGGATAGACAAGCGGAATGAGCCGCCTGCTTCAAATACTCACGGTGATCTCGACAGCGTCGTCGGCCAGGATGAGGGCAGCGAGGGAGAGGTTCTGGATCTCAGACTACACGGTTAGCTATCACTCAACGATCTCCAACGAGCTATCCTCGACGCCGTCGCAGCGAGTTCATGTTCCACCCTTCCCAGTGTCCAAGCCGAAGCAAGCAAGGTCGTGTGTCGTGACCCAAATTTGTCCATCCAAGGCATCCCGAGTCCCACTTCGGTCCCTTTCTTCCAGCAATGACTCCCGGTGCCAGGCGAAACAATGAACATCGAAGCGCTGTCGTGGTCGTCGTCGAGGTCGTCGTCGTGATGATTCTCACCATTTTTATACGTTAACCGAAGTTTAAGCCGGGGAAAAAGGCAGGCGTAACGTTCTTAGTCCGGAAGAGAGAAAGGTCGAGAACACAACTTCTACTTGCAGTGCAGCGCATGCAGCAGCAACGCCAGGGTACCAGCACATCTGCCAGACTTTCGAAGAGAGCGAGATAACACCGAAATCGAAATCCCGGGTGGCAGTTTCGTCTGAGCTATGATCACGTGCGAAGCTATGTAGTCACGTGACAACGTGACCTGTGGGATGTCGTAGACTGGTCCGGCTGTGCCTAATGCAGCGGCCGAGTATGAAGCTTATGCTCCCAGTCCTTCATGAAATCGCTTGCTGGTGCCGAAAGCGCATCGTGACGGGGACAAAGCGGGTGACCTGCATGCACACGCGAGAGTCGAATGCAGATGGATGCCGCGATAATGGGAGCGGCGCGATGTTAGCAATGATCGACGCATTTAGGTATTAGCGTTGGTTTCATGGCCTTGGCAGCGGTCGGTGTACATATGTACATATGGATAGCTCGCTACGCGCTTCATGGTGAGAGGGGCGCCGGGGAATGCAGATTCCTAGGTGGTGGCCCAGAGACAGCCCCGGCGATCATGCCAGGTCACCTTGTGTGTCGAACCGGCAACCAGAGCGGTCGGGCGAAGTGGCGAGGCCGTTGGCGCGGTTGGAAGGAGTGAACGGCGGCGCGCCAGGTCTGGTCTCTTTAGCCAAGGGTTCCCTCGGGTGCCAAAGCCTGGAGTTCGTCTTCGGTCTCGTTGCCGAAGTAGGCCACATACTCCGTCATCGCTGAGAGGTACTGGGCCTCAGCTTCCGCGGCGGCTTCTCTCGACTCTTAATCGACTGCGATGGCCCCCTTTATGACTTCGGGCAACACTCCACAGTTCTCTAGCTCTCCTTGGTATCAAGCTCTGGCGCTCCATAGCTGACTCGAGCAACCTCTCCCACTCTTGCCTGGCTCGCTCGCGGCGCGGGTAAAACGTGATAGACCTAACGGGGAGACATCAGGCATCACAGGCTTGGAGGTCCTCGTTCGCTTTGTCCACCCGCTGGTGCAATGACCCGAGGAGGATCCAGTGCTCCACAGAGGATGCCTGAGCCTGTGCCCACGTCAGCTCCGCCGAGGCACAGTGGAGCGCTTCACGCGCCTCGTCCAGCTTGGCCTCATCCGCGTCCGCCTTCGTCCTTTTCATTGCGGCCCATTCGTAGGCGGACGTGATCACTCCCGTGGCCATCTTGTTGGCCGTCTCCTCTGGAGCGGCCTGGGCAACTGCCTGCTTGGCAGCCTCCTTCTCGGTCTGCTCAGCTGCCTTGACAGCTGCCTTCTCTTCCTGGGCGGCTTGTTTGGCAGCCTGAGCGGCGGCCTTCTCGTCCTGCGTCGCCTGCTGGGCGGCCTGCCAAGCGGCATACTGGTCATTGAACCAGTTGATGAAGCATGGCCCGCAGATCTGAAGTGACGTTAGCGACGACGATGGCACCTTTGCAAGACTCACGCTCCGCCCCTCCTTTGGCTGGTCGGCAGGTGTGGCTCCAGGGGCGCGGCCGTTGAGCAGCCACAGGAACATTGTCACCCCCAGCTGCTCCATCGCTGCTGCGTCGAAGAGACGGAGATGTCCGAGTTCAACTCTTCCTGGAACTTTGATATGCGGTAGCGGCAGATTTTACAGGCCTAGGCGTCAGCGGGCATTGACATATGAACTCTACATTCTGCGGTCCCGGGATCACGGTCCACTGTCCCGTTGCATTGTGCGGAAACGATATCTTGCACAAGGCGCATGTCCGTTCGAACTGTATCCTCTGCGCTGGCGCAGATCCCTCTTCTGAAAGACCAGCACCAACGCCGTGTTCACAGTCTCGGGCGTGGTGCCGCGGGAGAATGGCGATCCCTGCTGCGTCCACAAACAGAGGGGAAGTCGGTGCGCCTCCTCCAGCTCGTTCCAGTTCCGCTTGGGCCTCCCTGGCGAGGTCCAGCTCTCCTTTGATTCGGGAACACGACGTGCACAACTTGCGCCCCCTCTCGGGCTGTTTGCTGCAGTGAAGGCAGCTGTTGCGGGTAGGACGCTCCGAAGGGGAATCGCGTCTAGGTATTGCTGCCAAGCTTGCTCCAGGCCCGGCAGATAGTCGGGGTCGGTGAGCAGGCGCCCCACGACGCTCGATTCGTTACGACTCCACAGAGCCGCCAAACGACGACTCAGCCGCCCAAGGGCCAGCTTGCTGGCAAATACTCCTCTGTCGACAAGCTTGTCCCGAAGCTCTTGCAGCACCGGACGCATGATGTCCAAGACTGCGAGGAGGCCAGACGTGCGATAACTGCGCCTGAACCGGTTCACCAGCCACAGTTCGAAGGCGATGTTGGCGTCCTCTCCAGAGAGGCTGAAGGCCTCTCCGTGGCGACTGTGGGCTGCCAAAGAGGCCCTGAGGGGGTGGTTGACGATGCCGAAAACTGTGGGCAGGTTGGTGGCGGGGTCTCGAACTCCCATTGTACCGTCTGCCCTCATGTAGCCATGGCAGCGGATCATTCGGACCCAGAAGGAGAACAGTGCCATCCCTGGTTCTGCGTCGCGTACGCCGTGCTTGTAGCCGCAGAGGTCGCGCATCCTCCGTACAGCCACATCCACCAAAGCCGCGAGCTCTCCGTGGGCGTGTCTGCAGCAAAGAACAGGGTCGGGACGCCGTCGCTGTTCTTAACCGGGAAGTCCTCCCAGTCTGGCGCACGAGCGCGCAGCTGCGCGGCCAGGTGGTCGACCTGGGTGAGTGGCAGATTGAAGGACGCCACCAGTGCGTCAATGTCGGATGGTGGCAAGGCGCTCCTCCACTGGTACGTGTCATCACCGTTGTCAAGCCAGTTGTAGTAGCGTGCCTCCTCTTGTTTGAACTGGGTTTTCAGATCATGGTCCAGCATCTGCCGATTCAGGGACCCGTACTCGAGGAGAGCTAGGGGGTTGGCAAGGCGGCCGCCCCGTCCATGCTCTCAGGCTCGATCTCGTTGCCTTCCTCGTCGATCTGATTGTTCTCGAGTATGTACAGCATAGTCAGCTTGTTGCACTCGACGTGACCTCCTCCCTTGGCCGTATTGACGGCTTGAGGAACGGGTCGGACGTTTCCCGGGCCGTGATGAGGGAACAGAGCGGGATCTCCTGTTCGCGAGTTCAGGTGAACTTGGTCCACCAGGTCCGGGGACGTCCAGGTTGCCTCAAGGTGTCCGGGAAGGTTCAAAACCTTCTGGATATGAGGGTGGACCACGTCTGACTCGATCAGGTTGTCGGTCGGGTGCGGGGGTGGACCATCGCGCACGAGCCAGTTCTCCACCTGCTTGGGTGTGAGGAAGGTGCAGTATCGCGGATAGCCTTCCAGCAGCTGTTATGAGCTTATGCCGGGAGGAGCCATTTGAGGTTCGCCTAGGTACTCACAGTCTCAGGGGTGACTTTCGGTGGCGGCAGGACAAAGTGTTCCTCGGCACGCTTCGCGTCTGTTTTGAAGGCCGTGTTCATGGCCTGCCTGAACTGACGACAGGGCCCCTTGCTGGCCGACATCCTCTCCTCGAGGATGCGCCGCGCAATGGGATGAATCCTGGCGTCGAGCTTGACCTTCTTCGACCATTTCCCTCGGTCGGCGTCGTCTGGCCATTGCTCGTACGTCGCAGGCTGGCGGGGTGGACGAGGTTGACTGGAGAGACGGGCTTGGCTGGATCGACGGGCGCGCTTGTACGTCTTATCGACGTAGTCCAGGTCGCTGTCGTCCGAGTCGCGATCAGATTCAGTATCGTGATACTCCGACGAGCTGTCGGGAGGTGCGTCCGAGTCCGTGGAATCCGAGTGGTCGTCGCCAAGCTCGCGACCGGTGGTCGAATCGGCTCCTTGACGCGGGGAGGGGCCACGGGCAGATGTCTCGCGCTTCTTGGCCGTGAACTTGACTTTGATGGCCGAAGAGTCGGTGAAGTCGGCAACACGGGGTCCAGGGTTGCCGAGGTCGTTGTGGTGGCCATTGGAGGCGAGTCGCTTACGCTTGCTGGTAAAGTTAATCGAAGGCCACCACCGACGTTGGTGAGCATCTCCTTGATGTCCTTGCCCTCAAGAGCCTTGGCGAGGAGCGAAGCGTAGATCTGGTCGA